AAAAGGCTGACCATCTATACTATAACTAATGTATTCATAATAAAGTAACTTACAATTCAAATCTCAAAAAATAAATAAAATTACTTTTACTATTAAGATTGTTTTAAATTTTACTTTAAAGTTAATCTAACAGCTAATATTAAAACTTTAAATTTAATAGGAAAAAATAGGACGCTAAATGTGTGTTTGGAATAATTTTTTAAAAGTATTTTTAAAAATTATTTCTCATAAGTACTTTAAAAAAAATATTGTTTTAAACCGTTCCACCACTACCTCTACCACCACCACCACTGCCACCACCACCGCCACTGCCGTCACCGCCACCACCATCACCATCACAACCATCGTCGTCGTCGCCACCACCACCACCCCGCCGTTGCCACCGTCGACGTCGCCACCACCACCGCCATTGTCGTCACTGCCACCACCATCACAACCATCGCTGCCACTATTGTCGTCGCCACCACCACCACCCCCACCACTGTCGTCACCATCATCGTCGTCACCGCCACTACCATCACCACCACTGCCGTCATAACTATTACTGTCTTCTACCACCACTACTGTCGCCCCCCAATATCTCTCACCCTCACTACAAAACCGATGTTTAAATTCTTTTATCTCTTTTCTATGTTTGCGATATAATTTTGGATATGAATATAAATATATTTATTGTTTATCATTTTTTATTACTCTGTGCCTTTAGGCACATGCAGATGCAATAACTAGTGTATTCATAAGAGATAAATTTTAGATCACGTAACTTTAAATAATTGTCAAAATTTAAATTCAAAATATTTAAATTTATAATTCATCTCTGTTACGATTTGATGAATCCCTTGAAGTTCACCAATGATCTTTCCCCAACGCAACAAACCCACCAGGATCATGGCCACTGAATTTGAGTTTTTTAAGATGGTAAAACCCTTGATTTTGTTGCTTAATATAATTTAAGATACCAACCATTGAAAAGAGACAAGAGGTTTGTTTAATTTTATCAAAAACTATACGTCACATATGACATAGCACTTGTTGTTTAATTGGCTTATAGAATACTTATTAGTAAGACCTATTTAATTATTATAAAAAACAAAGAAAAAAAAGTCACATGCTTTATGGTTGCAGTGATTTTTTTTTAAAAGGGGTAAACATGAAAAATGATGACCCTTAATTTTGGTACGAGTTTCAACTACACAACGCAACACATTATATAAATTTTTTATTTGCTTACATAATATTCTCCACTTCACCAATTTAATAAGTCCACAAATTCCAAATAAAAAATAAAATCGAAAAAAAAAGGGAAATAAGATTGACAACAAATCATGTCGTATTGAACTTGTGTTGTATTTCCATTATCTAATGTAAAAATCTATTCTATTCATCTCCTACCATTTATAGTTTAGGCATAGTGTCGAGACAACGGAAGCGTAGGATTCAACTATCAAATTTGAATTTTTTGATACCACTTGAAATAGTTTAGAGTCACTCTTATTTCTCTAAAAACATGTTCTAATTCAATTTAAATCACGATGACCAATCATTGAATTTAAGAGAGTAATCGGTATAAGTTTGGACACCCTGTATAAAAAAAAAATAAAAGAATTGGGTCTATCTAATAGGATTCATATTAATCCTTTAATTAAGTAAAATTAATTTATTAATTTTAATTTTCTCTGCAGGATTTGGTTGGATTTTATTTTTATTTTTTATATGATAATACAAAGAAAGAAAAGTTTAAGTAACGACCACACAGATTATTGACGCCTGTGAATGATTTTAGCCAGCTGATTAGTGCAGGTGGCGCAGCTACAGAGTGCCACATGGCTTCAGTATCCCCATCTTTGGTGCAGCACATCTGAAGCTTCACATTCATGGATTGGCTCCTAATCCTTGTTGCCCCACAGCCATAGCCACCATCACCATCACTCTCTCTCTCTCCCTCTATTCCTCTGTGTTTACATTTCTTACGCATTGGGAAAAAATCAAGCACAGAAAGCGGACGCTAACTTCGTCTTCCCAAACTGTATCTTCATTCTGAATCTCAATTACCAGAACTCGAACTGAATTGAAATGGCTTCAACTGTCGTTCACAGTTCAATTAACCCATCAACACCATTTCTTTCAAGAGCCCACTTCCCATTTCAAATTTCCAAACACTTCTCACCAGAGTTCTTCCCTTCTATGCACTACAAGAACTACTTCAGAGGCAAAGAAAGTTGGCCAATGAAGAAGAAATTTAAGGTGAAAGCCACGGTAACTGAAGCACCACCGTCTTCGCCATCTACACAAAGCGATGGTGACGGAACTGATGGGTCTTCTTCTCCGCCGTCAAAGAATTTAAAGATACTTGTGGCGGGTGGTGGGATTGGAGGGTTGGTTTTCGCGTTGGCGGCGAAGAGGAAGGGGTTTGAGGTGGTGGTGTTTGAGAAGGACTTGAGTGCAGTTAGAGGTGAGGGACAGTACAGAGGCCCAATTCAGGTTCAGAGTAACGCACTGGCTGCTTTGGAGGCTATTGATATGGACGTTGCCGATGAGATTATGAAGGCTGGCTGTATTACTGGTGATCGGATTAATGGGTTGGTTGATGGTATTTCCGGCAATTGGTAAGATGTTTTCTGTTTGTCCTTCAACTGGGGTGTTTTATTTTTTTCAGAAACATAAGAAAAATTGGGTCTATTTTGTACTTTTAATTACACATTTTAATCCTCAAAGTTTAGGATGATACCCACTTTAATCCTTATTTTGGTTGGTAATTTCTTCCAATCATTGAATTCTGCCAAAATTTGATAAATAATACTCTCCAATTTGTCTATGATGCTTACGCGATGCGTGATGCATCTCTGCGTTTTGCTGTGAAAAATTTAACTAACGTTGTTGATTGGACTGAATTGATTGTATTTAGACTAAGTAAGAATCAGGTGAAACTTCAGGCTTGAAAAAGTGTAATTGTTTCTTTAATTTTTGTCCTCTGGCTATATATATTCATATTTGTTTTTTTTTTTTTGGGGGGGGGGGTGGCAGGGAGGATATGGGCACCTATGGGTTTTTATAGAATGCACAGAGATGCAAACAAGTTGGCTTATGATTTTCTTTTGAAAATTGCAAATACTAATATATGTTTCCTGTTTGAGATTTGGAGGACGCTGGTCATTGTTGACATGTTTCATTTTTCCGCCTAAATAGAAATTTATAGAGTTTTGGCAGTACTAGAAATTTTGCAAATTTAACATTGAATTACTTTAGATTCTTTAGACAATACTGATGTTAGTGTAGCTATTTTTTCTTGAATAAAATCATGTTTCTATAAGAACCCAATTACCTATAATAATTTCTAGTTGGTTATCAGGTACATCAAGTTTGATACATTCACTCCTGCAGTTGAACGGGGGCTTCCAGTCACAAGAGTTATAAGCCGCATGACTTTGCAACAAATCCTGGCTCATGCTGTTGGAGAGGATATTATTATGAATGAAAGCAACGTAGTGAACTTTGAGGATGATGGTGAAAATGTAATTTGAGCTGTGAACCCCCTTGCTCCACCCCACGATCGAATAAATACATTTTTCAGTGCTTCTGTTTGTGCTTCCTTTTGAAAATGCATTAGATAATTAACTTTTAATTCTTGGTTTTTTCCATTTTCCAAGTTTAGGTTACTGTGATTCTTGAGAATGGACAGCGTTATAAGGGTGACATTCTTATTGGTGCTGATGGAATATGGTCAAAGGTAGGTTTCTGTACTCTCTGTATGTGTGCAATCTTCACTGGAATTGCACATTACTTGTATCTTCGGGTGTGGACACATGATAACTTTGTGATAACAGATAAACATTCATCTGGTAAACTCTATAAACAAAATGGTCAAAGATTTCTAGTTGATCAATTTTTCCTAACCTTTCTGGTAGTTCATCCAAATGCTCTGCTAGATTTTACAATTTAAAGCTATATGGAGTAATTAATCAAATGGTGAAAAAAATTAGAATATTTATCTTTCCTGTTGGACAGTGTGATTCAAAATCTACATTCAGTTTTCCCCCAAACTTGAAAATGTTTGATTGTGGTTAATTTTTGAATAGGTAAGGAAAAATTTGTTTGGAGAGCGGGAAGCCACATACTCAGGCTATACTTGTTACACTGGTATTGCAGATTTTGTGCCTGCTGATATTGATTCTGTTGGGTATGTTCAATTTCCTTTTGAGATTTCAACGTGCTTACTTTTTTAGCCTCATTTATGTCTTTCTTCTATAGGCTAATTTTTTCAGTGTAGAAGTCTTATATGTGAATTTCTCTGCTGAAGGTACCGTGTATTCTTAGGACACAAACAATACTTTGTTTCATCAGATGTGGGATCAGGAAAGATGCAGTGGTATGCATTTCACAATGAAGCACCTGGTGGTGTAGATGGTCCCAGTGGTATATGTCCTTCATTTATTAGATTCAAAATGAACATGTCTTAGAATGACTTAATATAGTATTAGAAGTTAATGGAGTATAATTTTCCCACCAGGAATTTCTGAAATTTCTTTAATTTCATAATGTAGATAAATATACTAAATACAAATGAATTAACATAGCTGTAGAAAAATAGAAAATGAACATACGTGGGTAGACATAAAGTACATTGCAAACAGGTATTTATGAGACAGTCAATTGCAGGTGCTGTATTTAGCTGCGTGTTGATGATACAGCAGAGGTGGTGAGTGCTATATAGAAAAGGGTAGAAAGAAAAAACAAACAAGTACTACTTCATCCATTGTTAGTCCAGTTATGCATAAAATTGTGTTTTAATCTATATGGTGGACCACAGAAAGAAGCTGTCATCTTTTCTTTTATGGGTGAATCCTTCAACTACATGAAGCTGTCCTGTTGTGAAAGCATACTCGGTGGAAGTAGTCTCTTTCATTAGTGTTTGAACCCTAAGGATATTCATAACATATGTATGTTCTGGGGGTGATGATTATCAGCCATTTGATTGCTGGGATGCTAAACACTCAATGTGTTTAACAGAAGATTTGGCCCACAGCATGACATTTTTTTCTTGTAATGTAACTGCAGATAATCAGGACATGATGTGGATGATGTGTTGGCGGTNTAGCATGACATTTTTTTCGTGTAATGTAACTGCAGATAATCAGGACATGATGTGGATGATGTGTTGGCGGTTTGTTCTTAATAATCTACATGTGGTATGTTTTTCCAGGTAAAAAAGAGAAGTTGCTAAAAATTTTTGAGGGTTGGTGCGATAATGTGATAGATCTGTTAGTTGCCACGGATGAAGATGCAATTCTGCGACGTGACATATATGACCGCGAACCATCCTTCAATTGGGGCAAGGGTCGTGTAACCTTGCTTGGGGACTCAATCCACGCTATGCAGCCAAATTTGGGTCAGGGAGGATGTATGGCCATCGAGGTACGACTTGCTTTGTTTTGTTCAATACCATGCCATCCTGTGAGGGTGAAAGAATCAATGCTAGGTAAATATCATTTTTGGGTTTGTGCATCACTAAGATATTGTGATGCAATATGTGCTGTATTTTCTGTTCATTGCATATATATGCAAGTAAGTTTTGCATTATTATAATACTGATCATCCAGACTCATTAAACATTGTCTTTCATCAATACTTTTTCTTGGTTTGAATTTATTGTTTTTTCCAAGAACTAACACCTATCAATAGATATTAGAATGCTGATGAAAGACAATCCAAGTACATGATAAAAACTGATTCACAATAGAAAAATAACCTTTGTTGCACTTTGTTATTCATTTACAGGATGGCTATCAACTAGCGCTCGAGCTTGACAAATCTTGGAAGCAAAGCATTAAAACAGGAAAACCTATTGATATTGTGTCTTCTCTGAAGAGGTAACATATAGTGTGCTGGTCAAATTATTGAAAAGAAACGTGACGTTTTATGTTGAACATATGTAGCCATGAAGGAGTTAAAAAAGCCTAGAACTGAAACCAAATTAAAGAAATAATAGTCTACTTGAAATTTTGCTAGCACGTGATGCATATGGAGGTTATTAGAACATTCAACTAAAAACCAATTGGCAAGTAGCTCCTCAAGTATATAAACTGTAAAAATGAGAGAACACAATCACACACAAGGAGGAAGCACAATATTTAGAGTTGTTTGGCAGAATTCTGCCCAAGTCCACTATCCGGCTGCCCTTTTCTTATTTCTTTCTTATGGATCTCTCTATATTCACCAGACATATATACAGTTGGAATATAGACCAATTATGGATGAAACCTTAATTCCAGTCAATCATCAATCAATAAAATGGGGCTAATTTAGCAATGGTACAGGCTAATTAGGAAAGGTATATAGATTGCGCTGGGATTATATAATGCCGAGATCTTCTCAGTCAACCCTCTCCCTCAAGTTGGGGGCGTAGATGTCAATTGAACCCAACTTGGACATGATCTCATGAAAACGGGACGGAGCCATTGCTTTTGTAAATATATCTGCAAGTTGGTCTTCACTCCTAACATACCGAGTATGAATAATCTTCCCTTGAACTTTTTCTCGAACGAAGTAACAATCAACTTCAATGTGTTTTGTCATTTCATGAAAAACTAAATTGGAAGCTATATGTATTGCTGCTTGGTTATCACAAAACATATTCATTGGAAGAGATACTTGAAAACCCATATCATTAAGAAGAGATTTTAACCAAACTAGTTCGCTTGTAGTTGCTGCCATTGCTCTATATTCAGCCTTAGCGCTAGATCTAGCTACCACATTCTATTTTTTGCTTCTTCAAGTGCTAGGTTACCCCCAACTAGAGTACAAAATCCTGTTGTTGATCTTCTATCAGTTACACTACCTGCCCAGTCGGCGTCTGTGTATCCTTTTTCATCCAAATTCCCCTACCTAGAGTGGCCCTAATCATTCGATACAAGCTCTTTTACATCTTCCCTCATGTGGGACCCAGGCTCGCACGTGGCGCTAACAAACAGACAAAACAACCACGTATATTGGAAAATTCAAATGAATAAGAGACATGGCCCACTGACTTGCTCTGAGTGTCCAACTTAAAACTAATTGGCGATGAGTGAACTAGCCTCTTGAAGTATATAAACCAATGGGGTAGTACTAATCATTTGATTTGAGATACAAACTCTTTTTACAGAGGTAAAGTACTGGATTATTTGATGATTTGTGACCATAAGACCATGCATGGGATATGTCTCTGGAAAGTTGTTCATAGTATGGACCAAAATACACGGGGCTTCCCACTCATAGAAATCTAGTTTAGGACTTTGGTAACGTGCTGTTTACATACATTATATATGAGCGGACTCAATTATTCTATTTCTCTCAGGTGACTTACTATTCTGATTTATCTTCATGCAGCTATGAGAGAGCTAGGAGAATACGAGTTGCAATTATCCATGGACTGGCAAGAATGGCTGCAATTATGGCTTCAACTTATAAGGCATATCTAGGTGTAGGACTTGGTCCACTGTCAGTAAGAATCTATGACAATCACATGGATATTGAATTAATCTAAGCAAACACAATCCTCCAGAATTCTGAAAGAATTTCGTAAAAGCCTATAATCTGTTTTGCAGTTTTTGATGAAGTTTAGGATACCTCATCCAGGAAGAGTTGGTGGGAGAGTTTTTATTGATATTGGAATGCCTTTAATGCTAAGCTGGGTCCTAGGTGGCAATGGGTCAGTTACAATCTGCTTTTCCACCAATTTCTTGTTATCTGCTTGCAAGATTTAATGGTGATTTTCCTTCCATATTTCTTATAAGATTCATGTCTTAAGGTTTTTTTTTCTTTCTGAGTGGTAATTATGATGAATAGATATCACCAAGTTAGGACCTAATTGATTGTGATTTTCCAAAGGTCTTATTTCTACGCATGACTAGTGATGCTATTTTTTACCCGTTCTCCGGTCTACATTCAAATATTGCTTGAATAATAATATATTTGGAACAGCTGATTAAGGCATTCAATTTCTTCCATGTCTTGAAACTTTATAATATAATGGTGACCTCTTGCAGATTCTTGTTCTACTTTTAGATGACCACACCTTTTAGACGAGTTGGTTAAATGCCAAGCTATGGACATCAAATATATACTGGACACTTCAATTTTGAATTGCACTTCTAATTTTGAAGGTTCCACTCATCAAGTTAAAGGAAGTTTTTTTTTTTTTTTTTTCAGATTTTGAGAAATGAAAAGGCTAACAAGTTGTGTCAATGAGATTNAGAAGGTTCCACTCATCAAGTTAAAGGAAGCTTTTTTCTTTTTTTTTTTCAGATTTTGAGAAATGAAAAGGCTAACAAGTTGTGTCAATGAGATTTACCTGGTAAATTTAGTTCGTGCTGAATGACAAATGATTGCTTTTTGCAGCTCAAAGCTTGAGGGGAGATCGCTGTCTTGCAGACTCTCTGATAAAGTAAGTTACTCAATAAACAAAGACTTCATGTGTGACTTAGAAGTAGTTAAAGTGTGGCCCTTTTGTGCAATATTTAACATTAAAAATCTGGAACTTCATTGAAGAGTTAATGTATTATCAATCATTGAAGGCAAATGATCAATTACAAAGATGGTTCAAAGATGATGATGCTCTGGAGCGCGCTCTTAATGCAGAGTGAGTCGAAATTTATAAGCCTCAAATCTTTGAATCTTATTTGTAGCATCTTTTTTCTCATGCATTTGTGCTTCATCTTTGTATTTCCATGTTGGTTGTCTTGTAGGTGGTTTCTATCTCCATTTGGAAATGTGGATTCTGGTTTAGAACCTATTTTCTTGAGTAGGGATGAGAAAAAATCCTGCATAATTGGGTATGCATTCAGTTTTGAGTTTGTCTTTGTCTTTCTATATACAACCTATTAGAAATCAGCAAAACTTGTCTCAATTGTTTTTGGGTCTTTGCCTTTCAATATTTTCATTTATATTTTCCTCATGAAGGGCACTAGAGTCATTTAGTGACCATTACATAACATTTGATTTCATAATATTAAAATTGTTCATTATCCATTGTTTTCCAAGACAGTTGATATGGTGTTGTGCTCTCATAGATCTCAAGTAGCAAGAGCCAGACCAATACCGTGATTCATTGGTTATCCCTCTCTTTCCAAGTCCCCTCTTCTCCCCCAGCTCAGGAAAAAGGGAAAAACCAAAGAAAAAGACCTTATAATTCGTTTATAGTTTTTTATTTTTGTAAATAAGACACCCTACAGGGTGGCAGTTTGGTGAATAATCCTACTAGTTAAACAACCTCTCCGTGTGTCCCGAAGAAGAAGGGGGGGGGTAAGGCTGCGTATTTTTTAGCCTTCCCAACACGCAAAGTCTTATGCACTGGCCCACCTTTTTTTTTTTTGTAAACCACCTCATCTCATCTAGAGTGGACCTTAGAAGGTAAACCAAATGGATATTGTTTATGCCATAATAAGTTATTCACAAAAGAAAACAGGTTGAATTTGTACCTGGAATCTGTTTTGTATACAGAGGCTTGAGGCAATTTGTTCAAAGGTTAAATGAATCTAGTACACCTATTTGTTCCTAGTTACTTATTGTTCTATGATGGCCACGATAAAAGCTATGACCTTATTTTTTCTGACTGCAGGAGTACGTCACATACAGATTTTCCTGGAGTATCAATTGTCATACCAGCAGCCCAGGTTACCTGGCCAGTTGTTTTATTTTTTTGTTGTCCTTATTGCTGGTAGTTCCATTGTTTCTCCTTGTCATGCTGAAAAAGGTCCTTGTTTTAGGTTTCTGAAATGCATGCTAAAATAAGTTACAAGGATGGTGCATTTTTCCTTACTGATTTGCGGAGTGAACATGGTACCTGGATCACCGAGTAAGTGAGGCAGAACTATATATACACGTATATATACAGATACAAATATATATATGTAGATATGTATGTATGTGTGTCCCTTATCTATTCTGGTCAGGGCATTCTTGAAGTTTTTGCTTTATTTACTTCTGCAGTAATGAAGAGAGGCGTTATCGGGTGCCTCCTAATTTTCCTTCTCGTGTCCGTCCATCAGATGTTATCGAGTTTGGTTCTGATAAAAAGGTGAGACGATGATTTCCTTTCCCATGTTGCATGGATCCTATGGATCAGTTACAGCCTGTATGCTACATAATCTTATATATGCCACACGGGTTAGATGCATCGTTGACAGAACAATCTAAGCATAAAACATTCTAATTTAGAACTACTTGCAGATTGATACTGGGTAGTGTTTGGATGTTATCATACCACCAGGTGCTTAAAAAAAAATTGCCCCTCCTGGAAAACAATCAATGTGTACTATATAAGTTCACTAACACAGTATGAACAAAGCATAGAAAACTTGGTTTGGTAATTATTCGATATGGCAGCGTTATCATATGTCTGACCATGCAGGCTGTGTTTCGGGTAAAGGCGACGAAGTTCCCACCAAAAATTGCAACCAAGAAAGAAGAGGGTCAATTGCTCCAGCCAGTGTGAGAATCCTCCACTAGGTTCTCCTTTGATTATGCTACACAGAAATTGTACAGCATTTATCTGGGGGCAGAGGAGCCTTGTAAAGCTCCCCCATTGCCCGCATTGTGTAGGATTTCAGGATCAAATTACAACATCACACCATAGCTTAGAACCCCAGCAATCTGTTACAGCTGGGAACAAAGGAGTGTGATAACTTCTCTTTTCGACAAACGGTGAAATATCTATTATAACTGTAAAGAAAGAGATGCCCATATTTGTTCTTATTCATTTTTTCCATTACCTTTATTAATTTTCAGTTTCTAAACTCATCATAGGTTCATCCTCGAATGGCACCCTTGCTTCTGCCATAAAGAACATGTACCTGATCTGACAAATCTACCCAAGTGTATATTTATTTTTAAGTTCAATGGGGATATTTGAGTCAATCAGGCGGCTCAAGGTAAATTGAGGTCTAAAATGGTAATACTAAATGAAATTTTTTTACTTTTAGTATTGTTTTTTTTAAAAAAAAAATTTTAATTTTTTTTAAGTGAGAGCAGGGTATGATACTTTGTTTTTGGTTTTTAAGAGANGGCACCCTTGCTTCTGCCATAAAGAAAATGTACCTGATCTGACAAATCTACCCAAGTGTAGATTTATTTTTAAGTTCAATGGGGATATTTGAGTCAATCAGGGCGGCTCAAGGTAAATTGAGGTCTAAAATGGTAATACTAAATAAAATTTTTACTTTTAGTATTGTTTTTTTTTTAAAAAAAAATTTAATTTTTTTTAAGTGAGAGCAGGGTATGATACTTTGTTTTTGGTTTTTAAGAGAGAGAGAGAGAAACAAATAAGAGTAAATATGAGTTGATTTTTAACTTTCTAATATTATGGATTGAATTGTAGGTCTAAATTATTAAAATTATAATTTTTTGATTGAGCTTAAATTTTTTGGGACTTTTTTATAAGACCTAAAATTTTTATGGATTTAAAATTTTTATATAAACTAGTTATGTACTTACAATTATGGGGCCTTTTAAAAATTTGGGCCTTAATGTCCGTATTTTTTTTTTTTTGGGTAAATTGTAAAGGGGTACACTAAATTAGACTTATTTGGTAAAAAATACACACTAAAAAATGTAGGGTTATTAAGTAGTTAATTTTGATACTTATTTGTATTCAAGTACATAATTTGAATTTNGTATTTTTTTTTTTGGGTAAATTGTAAAGGGGTACCCTAAATTAGACTTATTTGATAAAAAATACACACTAAAAAATATAGAGTTATTAAGTAGTTAATTTTGATACTTATTTGTATTCAAGTACATAATTTGAATTTATCTATTTTTATTGTGATATTTTTGCCATTGATTAATCCATGTGTATTTAATGCACCATTTTTCTTTGAAAAATGGTGCATTAAACATCTCCTAGTTTTATGGGAGAATTTTAATACATACATATATATATAAATTTTGAATTATCTTTTAATGTACCTTGATTCATGCATTGTTTTTTAGAAAGTGGTTTTATTTTCAAATTAATTTAATATCTAAATAGTGCAATAGTGTAACAAGTTATTTACACAAAATATTATACTATTACATTTTGTTAAACATATAGTTTCATATAATTTCATTTAAAATAGTTCATCTCCGTTTTGAATTTGTTACCATATATACAAAATTATTGAACATTTTTTTTGTTACAGTGTATTTGTTACACTGTTTTTGTTACAGTATTTTTGTTATACTGTTATTATTATTATTATACTATTATATTATTTGAATATTAAATTAATTTAAAAATAAAACTNTAAACATATAGTTTCATATAATTTCATTTAAAATAGTTCATTTCCGTTTTGAATTTGTTACCATATATACAAAATTACTGAACATTATTTTTGTTACAGTGTATTTGTTACACTGTCTTTGTTACAGTATTTTTGTTATACTGTTATTATTATTATTATACTATTATATTATTTGAATATTAAATTAATTTAAAAATAAAACTATTTTCCAAAAAAAAAAACAAACGCTTGAATCAAGGTGCATTAAATATAATTTGAAAACAAAATTATTTTTAAAAAAAAAATGCATGAATCAAGGTGCATTAAAGATAATTCAAAATTTAAATAAGAGATTTAACAAATACACATGACTTAAAGTGTATTAAATACGTATTTATATGTATTAACAAACACACGNTTATATTATTTGAATATTAAATTAATTTAAAAATAAAACTGTTTTCCAAAAAAAAAACAAACGCTTGAATCAAGGTGCATTAAATATAATTTGAAAACAAAATTACTTTTAAAAAAAAACGCATGAATCAAGGTGCATTAAAGATAATTCAAAATTTAAATAAGAGATTTAACAAATACACATGACTTAAAGTGTATTAAATACGTATTTATATGTATTAACAAACACACGTGAATTAAAGTGCATTAAAGATAAAAGATTTTAAATTAAATGACCTTAAAATGAGCATTTATGTCTTTTTAACTCACATTTTATTGTATGTATTTTTTGCTAAATAAGTCTAATTAGGTTTATCGACTTCCAAAGAACCTTTTTTTTTTTCATACTATTGAGCCGGCCTCGGACTCAACTTATATGCATTTCGACTAATCACATAAATTNAAATTAAATGACCCTAAAATAGGCATTTATGTCTTTTTAACTCACATTTTATTGTATGTATTTTTTGCTAAATAAGTTTAATTAAGTGTACCGACTTCCAAAGAACCTTTTTTTTTTCATACTATTGAGCCGGCCTCGGACTCAACTTATACGCATTTCGACTAATCACATAAATTAATAGTGACTTTTTATTCATAAAAGATGAACGTTCCAATAATTTTCTTAATAATTTTTCATAAAAAAACNCTTATATGCATTTCGACTAATCACATAAATTAATAGTGACTTTTTATTCATAAAAGATGAACGTTCCAATAATTTTCTTAATAATTTTTCATAAAAAAACTATATTGTTTTCTTAAAATATAAGCTATGAATAAATAATTAAATTAATAATATAACTTCTATATGAGTAATAATTTCATTTTATTTAATTGATATGATAACTCGAATTGGAGTAAACTCTAAAATGCATCGTAAATTAAGTGCTGATTATCTCCTCTCTCTTCTGGCGGAGATGCTGCCAATCACATTCTGTAGTTAGATCAAGTAAGAANCAACTCGAATTGGAGTAAACTCTAAAATGCATCGTAAATTAAGTGCTGATTATCTGCTCTCTCTTCTGGCGGAGATGCTGCCAATCACATTCTGTAGTTAGATCAAGTAAGAACTGGACGAATTGAATTGCGTGAAACTCCGGATGTTCTTTCTCATATATGATAACTAGGCGGGAAGCCAAAAAATCAGAATGTAAGTCATCAATGGTCCTCAAACACATGTTTACGAATCGTCCATGGCGTTTGTTCTCTATTCCCTCTCTTCTGAATATACAGCCAAACTTCATGAATCAAGTCTTCACAAGGAACCATTCAAGTTACAATTTAGACAGTCCAAATAACACCCACTTTCTCCATCTGGTGTCTCTCTGCTGGAAAGTTGAGGATTTGATTCCTCTAAAGTCTCTCTTCATTGTGCATGGCCTAATCACACACGAATTTCTAATCGAAGAATTTCTCAAACAGTGCTTTCATCTGGATTCTCCAGAATTAGCTCTCTCAACTTTCAAAACAGTTGAAAAACCTAGTGTATCATTACAGAATTTAATGGTTAAGTGCTTATGCGATTATGGGTTATTTGCAGATGTCCTAGACATCTATCAAACATGTCGAATTTTGGGTTGCGTTTCTGATAACTATACCTTTCCTTTTGTGATCAAGGCGTGTTCGGCTTTGGGTGCTTTTGTTGTTGGTAAAGAGATACATTGTCTTGTTTTGAGAACTGGGTTTGGAGATAATCTCGTTGTACAGACAGCTCTTGTTGATTTGTATGCGAAAAATGGTCAAATGAGGACTGCGCGTTTGCTGCTTGATAGAATAGCTCAACCGGACTTGGTTCCTTGGAATGCGTTGATTTCTGGGTATTCTTTGGATGGACTTTATCAAGAGGTTTTCGAGGTCTTTCGGGAAATTTGTGAGAAGGGGTTGAGCCCTAATGTGAGCACTTTGGCCAGTGTAATTTCCGTATGCTCCCGTTTGGAAAATATTGATATTGGTAAGTCTCTCCATGGGTTTGCTTCCAAGTCAGGTTACATTACAAATGAAACTTTGACACCTGCTTTGATTTCAATGTATGCCGGTGGTGGAGATTTATCTTTGGCTATAAACCTGTTTGATTGCTTACCCAAAAAAAGTGCCACCATATGGAATGCCATGATCTCTGCATACACAAGGAACCAGAAATTTGATGATGCCTTTGAATTGTTCCAGAAAATGCTCCGAGATAGTAAACAACCTAATATGGTTAGTTTTGTTTCTATCATCCCCTCTTGTGAGAGCTCCGATAGCATTTGGCAGGGGGAGTCTCTTCATGCTCTTGTAATAAAAAATGGGTTTGAGAATCAACTTTCCGTGGCCACAGCCCTTTTATCAATGTATGCCAAGCTTGGAGATCTAAACACAGCCGAGTTTCTTTTTGACCAGATGCCCCACAGAAACCTCCTGTCGTGGAATTCCATGGTTTCTGCATATGTGCAGAATGACGTTTGGGATGCAAGTTTATCTGCATTCCGTGAAATGCTGTATGCAGGATTTGATCCAGATGCAATCTCCGTAGTTAGTATTCTTTCTTCCTGCTCTGAACTAGAAGCCACTCTGCTGGGCAAATCTGCACATGCATTCAGTGTTAAGAAAGGGATTGATTCTAATCTCAATGTCTCCAATGCACTGTTGGCATTTTACTGTAATTGTCATCAGCTGACCTATTCTTTTAAGTTGTTCCATGAAATGGCTATAAGAAATGTTGTTTCATGGAATAGTTTGATATCGGGATGTGTTCAAAATGGAGAAGCAAAAGAGGCAGTTTTCCTTGTTCACCAAATGCAAGAAGGCGGCATGGACTTTGATTTGGTTACCTTGGTAAGTGTTGTCACTTGTTATGGTGAGATCAAAAATTTAGTGCAAGGTATGGCTCTTCATGGCTATGCTATCAAAGCAGGCCTTGCTTCTGATGCGACTTTAGCTAATGCATTCATTAGCATGTATCTAAATTGTGGAGAACTCGATGGCGGGAGATTACAATTCGATGACATGCCTAATAAGAATGTGGTTTCTTGGAATGCTCTGATAACTGGTTATCGACTTCGCAATTTACGAAATGAGGTTATTGACTTGTTTGGACAGATGATAAAGGAGGATCAGAAACCAAATCACGTATCCCTGCTAAACCTATTATGGGTATGTTACACCCATTTGCAAGGTAAGTCTATTCATGCTTATGCAGTTAGGATAGGGATGGTGACAACTCCTCTTCTTACGTCTCTTATATTAATGTATGCTAGATTTGGAAATTTGAATTCATGTCACTTACTGTTCCAAATCGGAGAGAAACCAAATATTTCTCTTTGGAATGCTATTATGTCTGCACATGTACAATCGAAAAATGCCGAAAAGGCATTTTCTTTCTTCTGTGAATTACTTCGAAGGGAAACAAAACCTGATTTTATAACAATCCTGAGCTTAATTTCAGCTTGTGTTCAGCTAAACAATTTGAATCTAGCAAATTGTGTAATGGCACATGTAATACACAAGGGTTTCGAAAAAGATGTTGCCATTAACAATGCCCTTATTGATTTGTATGCAAGATGTGGGAACATCACGTTTGCAAGGAAGCTCTTTGACGGTTTGTTTCAAAAGGATTCAGTCTCTTGGAGTGTGATGATTAATGGGTATGGGTTGCAAGGTGATGGTGAAGCTGCCATTGCTCTTCTCTCACAGATGCGACTTTTGGGTTTGAAACCTGATGACATTACTTATGTGAGTCTTTTATCAGCTTGCAGCCATGCTGGGTTAGTGGGGCAAAGCAATATGATTTTCAACTCTATGGTAGAGCATGGTATAATGCCAAGGATGGAGCACTATGCCTGCATGGTGGACCTTCTTGGTAGAACAGGTCACTTAAATGAGGCTTACAATATTGTTAAGGGTTTGCCCCTAAAACCTTATGTAAGCCTGCTGGAATCATTATTAGGTGCTTGTCTAATGCACAGCAATGTTGAACTCGGGGAGGAAATTGGTGGGTTGCTTCTTGAAATGGACCCACAAAATTCAGTACCTTATGTGATTCTTCACAACATCTATGCAGCAGCCGGAAGGTGGACAGATGCAAACAAAGTGAGGTCTAACATGGATGGGAAACAACTAAGAAAAGTGCCTGGTTTTAGTCTGTACAAGGGACATGAGTATCACCATGAACAGTAGTCTTAAATTCTTTATGGAGGCAAAGGAGAATCTATATTCTTTGTTGATCAGTTGTACTGGCTTAAATTCTTGCATTGTGCAGAGGCACAATACATACTGGTCCATTTAGCAGCATCAAACTAGGCATTTGGTTTGGCATTGGAAGCCATAATTCCCTACGATTTTGGATGATCCAATTATGCTTGGATTTTGAATTCTATTAAAAGCCCTCCAGTATCTTATGGACTTCACTGCCCCCAAGCACTTATTCAAAGGTCCGGGCAACTTTGAAGACCTCTGACTTTGTCAACCTTGACGATGATGCATTGTGATCAGAACGCGCAAGTGCAAGTCCAATCACATGCACACACTCATATATCACATATACAATAATATATGTTTTAAATTGCTTATGTTGAATGTGTTTGCGCATCCTCCATTTATAATTTGATATTGCTTGCGAAAAAGAGGAAAAAAAAGAGAGGATTTCCTTCAGGTTATACATAGTTAATGTATTTTCAGCAAGTCTCAAAGCCANTTGTTTGCGCATCCTCCATTTATAATTTGATATTGCTTGCGAAAAAGAGGAAAAAAAAAAGAGGATTTCCTTCAGGTTATACATAGTTAATGTATTTTCAGCAAGTCTCAAAGCCAGTGTTTCTGTACATTTAGAATGCATATTAGGTTATGTGCTTCACTATAGATTCTATCCATCATGTACTGTGTTTTCACTCATAAGGTTACGACAGAAGTCACAGAACTTTTCAATGATTAATCTGTACAAGATGCTGCAATATAGTATTATTTGGAAACGGTTATGTTTAATCAGTGGGATTGGCAAACATTGTGATTGCGAAGAGAAACGATAGGATAGATAAAAAAGTGTTGAACATTCAGATTGATTTCATCAAGAAATGGATTAGTTAATCGTAAATTTTCAATTCAGCTGCATTAGTATTTCCATTGCTTTGAAGCATCTGACCTACTATGTAGCATCAAAGCTAGTGATCAAATCTCAGGATGCAACCTTTTTTTTCTCAGACATGGTTTTTATACTGTCATTGAACCGTAGTGAATAAAGTATCATTGGTATGGTTTTAGATGCTTATAGGCTTGTGCATGTTATGTTAGTTTTGAGGGGAAGCTCTTTTTGGATCATCAGGACTATATTAACCCACAAGAATAGCTGTATGATGGCAAAATGGTGTAGCATCCTTAAGAATGTGAAGGGAGAAAAAGATAGCTATTTAAAACTTCTAAAATAAGATGATCCTTATGCGTGGATTGATTCGATGAAATTTGGAAAGATGAAAAGTTAGAGGGAAAGATAAAACATCATAGAGGTTAAAGAAGGATAGTAGGTTGGGAAACTAGTTTAACCCAATAAAGCATTTTAACTTTGATCAAACTTAACTTCATGCCTTGGTATTGTATTCACAAATGTAATTTATGTTTTTCAGGTGAAATTTTATTTTTCACGCACTGATTATAATGTTTCATCATTTGTAACCCGATGATCTTTAGTTTTAATCACCTCCTTCAAGTTGAAACACTATTTGTAAANATCGATTGATTCGATGAAATTTGGAAAAATGAAAAGTTGGAGGAAAAGATAAAACATCGTAGAGGTTAAGGAAGGAAGATAGGAATGATAGTAGGTTGGGAAACTAGTTTAACCCAATAAAGCATTTTAACTTTGATCAAACTTAACTTCATGCCTTGGTATTGTATTCACAAATGTAATTTATGTTTTTCAGGTGAAATTTTATTTTTCACGCACTGATTATAATGTTTCATCATTTGTAACCCGATGATCTTTAGTTTTAATCACCTCCTTCAAGTTGAAACACTATTTGTAAACTTTAATCAATTTTAACTTTCTACTAATGTGTTGAAGCCGTAGCGCCAAGGATTTTAGATTTCTTAACTTGAAAATTTAGGTAATATTATTTTTGTCAGAATTAGAAATGAGTATATTCGATAGTAATGTGAGAGATAGAAATAGATTTAAAATAAATGTGAACCCCATAGGGTAGTTCAAGTGGTAAAAAAATTAATTGTTAATTTAGACGTCTTNTTATTTTATGTTAGAATTAGAAATGAGTATATTCGATAGTAATGTGAGAGATAGAAATAGATTTAAAATAAATATGAACCCCATAGGGTAGTTCAAGTGGTAAAAAAATTAATTGTTAATTTAGACGTCTTAAGTTCAAATTTTGACAACTCTTTGAGTTTAGGTCATTAGAGATTTATCTCTCACGGATACCTTAATTTTAGTATGAATGACTTATTTTTAACCAGATTAGGGAGAAAATTAATCGAGATGTGTATAAACTAATTCGGACACTCTTGATCAGTNGAGAGATTTATCTCTCACGGATATTTTAATTTTAGTATGAATGACTTATTTTTAACCAGATTAGGGAGAAAATTAATCGAGATGTGTATAAACTAATTCGGACACTCTTGATCAGTGAATTATATATATATATATATATATAACTATGAACAAAATAATTAAAAAAAATATGATATTTTAAATGCTTCTCCTGACTTTTATGTGGGTGTCACGTCATGTCATTTGTTGGCAACAGGGAGTCCTTGACTCCTTTTTTTAGAATAGTCGATCGTATACTAAGTATTCTGTGCGGGTGCATGATCTCCGGTCCACACGGTCACGGTGTCAAAGTGGGCAAAGAAATGGCAACTCCAACTGGGTAGATTAGATATTTATGTCTTGTGGACGGAGATTCAATTCAATGGATGTGCATGGTATAGTTTTCACATTCATGTCTTGTGGACGGAGATTCAATTAAATTTTCGTCCTGTACTAAATTTAATTGTTTTTGTAAATGTTAAATTATTGTATATTCCTCTAATTAGAAGTTGCGGATTTGAATTGATATAATCACATTCAAGACTGTGATGGAGAAACTATTTTTACAATAACGTACAGATAAATGAACAATTTTAATAAATTAAATTAAAGAATGACCCATTTTATAAATGTACTATATCTAATTATGTTTTGTAGTCGTTCNTAAAAAAAATATGATATTTTAAATGCTTGTCCTGACTTTTTTGTCCAAGCTTATGTGGATGTCACGTCATGTCATTTGTTGGCAACAGGGGGTCCTTGACTCCTTTTTTTAGAATAGTCTAAGTATTCTGTGCGGGTGCATGATCTCAGGTCCACACGGTCACGGTGTCAAAGTGGGCAAAGAAATGGCAACTCCAACTGGGTAGATTAGATATTTTTGTCTTGTGGACGGAGATTCAATTCAATGGATGTGCATGGTATAGTTTTCACATTCATGTCTTGTGGACGGAGATTCAATTAAATTTTCGTCCAATACTAAATTTAATTGTTTTTGTAAATGTTAAATTATTGTATATTCCTCTAATTAGAANGATGTGTATAAACTAATTCGGACACTCTTGATCAGTGAATTAAAAATATATATATATATATAACTATGAACAAAATAATTAAAAAAAATATGATATTTTAAATGCTTCTCCTGACTTTTATGTGGGTGTCACGTCATGTCATTTGTTGGCAACAGGGAGTCCTTGACTCCTTTTTTTAGAATAGTCGATCGTATACTAAGTATTCTGTGCGGGTGCATGATCTCCGGTCCACACGGTCACGGTGTCAAAGTGGGCAAAGAAATGGCAACTCCAACTGGGTAGATTAGATATTTATGTCTTGTGGACGGAGATTCAATTCAATGGATGTGCATGGTATAGTTTTCATATTCATGTCTTGTGGACGGAGATTCAATTAAATTTTCGTCCTGTACTAAATTTAATTGTTTTTGTAAATGTTAAATTATTGTATATTCCTCTAATTAGAAGTTGCGGATTTGAATTGATATAATCACATTCAAGACTGTGATGGAGAAACTATTTTTACAATAACGTACAGATAAATGAACAATTTTNTCAATTAAATTTTCGTCCAATACTAAATTTAATTGTTTTTGTAAATGTTAAATTATTGTATATTCCTCTAATTAGAAGTTGCGGATTTGAATTGATATAATCACATTCAAGACTGTGATGGGGAAACTATTTTTACAATGACGTACAGATAAATGAACAATTTTGATAAATTAAATTAAAGAATGACCCATTTTATAAATGTACTATATCTAATTATGTTTTGTAGTCGTTCTTTAATTTTATTTATATTTAGACACAACTATGAGTATATTTTGTAATTGTATTATATGTTTAGGCATAACTATGAGTTTATGATGTGCAGAACAATTGTTATTATTGTTTTGATGCCTAAAACAATTGGTAAATAGTCATGTTTAGAGATGACGATAGTTAATATTATGATATTTTTTTAGTAATCAGCATGCATATGACATGGTTTGATTATGATTATAAAATATATAAGTTTTGTGTATAGGTTGATATATTTGTGGTATTATATTTTCGAAGGATACTCTGTTGAAAAATTAAAAAATTTTTACATTAATTTCAATTTCTCTCATTACAGAATTTTTGAATTAAGCAAATTTCTTACATTGGTTTTTGTTCATTCATTGACATAGCGATTGATTTATACTTACTTTATGTCATTTTGTTTTATGATTAAAATAGTTTGTGATTGAAAAATTTTATTTATTTATTTCAATTTTTTAAGAATTTTATCTTCTGTTTGTCACTTTTACGAGTATGGATATAGTTGTTTGTGTAGAAAAGATTATGTGGGATAATTGGTACAAAATTGAATTTCGGTATGTATATGACATGATTTGATTATGATTATAAAATATATAAATTTTGTAGGCAGGTTGATATATTTGTAACATCAAATTTTTGGTGATTCTGTTGAAAAATTGAAAGTATTCACATTTTGACTTTTTTTTAAAATTATGACATTAAAAATAACCAAACGATTTTCAGCTTAATACATGTTTATATTCATTTTTTGATTATTTTGTATTTAAAAATTATGTACAGTACCTTTAGACATGTGATATAGGGCGAATTTAGGTTTTCAATACTGTGTTTGATTATTCAATATTTAATTTTTTTTAGTTATATTGTGCCTTTAGACACGAATTATCTTTAGTATATATATAACTATAAACTAAATAATTAAAAAAATATGACATCTTAAATGCTAGTCCTGACTTGTTTGTCCAAGCTTATGTGGAAGTCAAGTCATGTCATATGTTGGCATCATGGGGTCCTTGACTCCTTGTCAAGAATAGTCGATCGTATACTAAGTATTCTGTGCGGGTGCATGATCTCCAGTCCACACGGTCACGGTGTCAATTAGCTGGTTGTCTTGCTCCTCCCTCTCCGGTTGTCAAAGTGGGCAAAGAAATGGCAACTCCAACGGGGTAGATGTTTAAGTCTTGTGGACGGAGATTCAACTTTTGAATGGATGGATGGATCGGCTGTATAAGCAGTTTTGTTGGGTAGCATGATCATGGCCCCACCCATTGGCTGGAAAAAAACTCAATCAAAACATGGACTTGTCAACAGTAACGAAAAACAAAATTTTAGTATCGCATCAATTTTTATTATTGTTATTATGATATTAAAAAAAGAAATAAAAATAATTACTATAACAATAATAAAAATATTTATAAAAAAAATAATTTTTTTATACTAAAAAAAGTGATAAAAATAATTATCATCACCAAAGTGATAATTTTTTTATTGTACAAAAATTATAAAAGTATCCATTAAAATAATAAAATGTAGAAGTACAGTATCAAAATTTTTTATTCAGTACTATAGTCAAGTTCTCAAAACATAAGCCTTGCTTATTCAATATCATCACATTTACATTGTATCATTTAATTCTATATTTTTTATTTATTTTTTAATCAATATAACATTATTCATATAAAAAGATCAAATCTATATAATAAGGGACAAAACATTTTTAATCTCTAAAAACATAAACTTGTGTTAAGCTTTTCGCATCTCAAATTTATTTAATTTTGTCTAACTTTAATTTGATAACTTAAATGCTATTATAAAATTTTACTTTTCCTTCCATTAAAATTTCAGTTGGTACATGATGATGCAAAGAGAAATTTTAAATATTGACGGATAAAAAAAGAATATTCATATTCTCTCATTTATCGGTATAAATTTTTTTTTACAATAAATGGAGGAGAAAGTTTATTTGTAACAGTTGAAGATTTGACAAGAATTTCTTTTTAAAAACTAGACTTTCAAAAGTATTTAAGATTGATTTAATTTAATCACAAAATAATTGTATTTTTTTGAATTCTACTAAAATTAATTTAGTCACAATGTATTAAGATGATCCTTGTTTGCTGTATATTTGTCAAATTGTAGTAGACAGCAAGTATAATAAATTTATGTCAAATCTTTATAAAAATAAAAATATTAATATTTTAATAAAAATAATAATATTAATATTAATATTAATACGAAGAACAGTCGGACAAAACAAAAAGTCAGCATGCTGACGTTGTGAATTGTTCCAAGCAGGCTCACATAATTTTGCTGTCAACGCTCTCCTTAGGACACGAGCTCGAGTTAAAGTACTAGAAACTTCCTAGAACCCACGTGTCCCCACATAATGTAAGGGATTAAGTCACCACCACGTGGCCCAGTGTCCCATCCTTGTCATTGGGCTGGGACCCAACCTTCTCACCTTATACTATTCAATTAAATCTCCACTTGGCAAACCCCTAATCCACTGTTAAAATCCCGTGTGTATTCTGTGTTACGGCTGGCATGCCACGTAGACTCCCTGGCCAAAGAAAAAAACCTATATATAATAAGCGATCCCCGCCCCCTTTCCACTTCTGATTTGTCCTTCCATTTTATCTCTATAACAATCTCAAGTTCAACAACACTTTATATGTCCTTATTTTCCTTTTTTTTTCTTTAATTGAATTTCTCTTTTTCTTAGCACTCAGAAAAGAAAAAATGTAACAGGTTTATTTTTGCAACTCTGTTGATTTTTATTTTTGAAAATAGAAATAGGGTAAAATTTTTCCCTTTTTTCAGAAAAACCCCGGAAAAATGCAGAAATCCTTTCAAAAACCCACCTATGGTAAATTTCAGACATTGAAGCCCACCTTCTCTCTCCCTGTCCCTGGGCATTTCACCAAGGAAGATGAGCACTCTGCCATTGTTAATGCACTCAAGCAAGTAATATGCGGCAGCGACGGTGGTGGCGTTGCCGCCATTGAAGTGGCCTCACTACCACAGAACCTTCCAAATGCCACGTCATCATCATCACAACCATCCACGAGTGGGACCAGGACTCAGGACAATATCCTCTCCCTCCTTGTCCCAGATTCTCCCACGTGTCCAATCTGCAAAATTGAACCATGCTTAGGATGTGTTTTTTTCGAGCCTAGTGGTGCTGCTGATAGAGAAGGGAAAAGAAAGAGGAAGAAAAATAACTACAGGGGAGTTCGGCAGAGGAAGTGGGGGAAGTGGGCGGCGGAGATACGAGACCCACGGCGGGCGGAGCGGAAGTGGCTCGGCACTTTCCAGACGGCAGAGGAAGCCGCTAGAGCCTACGACAGCGCCGCAGTGGAGTTCCGTGGAGAGGGAGCCAAGACAAACTTCCCATTGTCGGACTATCAAGAATTGCTGAAGAAGCACCACAAAGAGAATGCAGAACATGAACCCCTCGATGAAAACAGAGAGAATCAAGGAGGTGAGGCCAATGAGAGAGAGAAGGTGGTGGGCGAGAGTGGTAAGGAAGAGAATGATGAGGACTTCATGGAAATGCTGGGAGATGATAGCTTGAACGGTCCAGAATGGAGGGAGGTGTTGGAATACGTGCGTCTTTGATCAATTTGGATTGTGTTGGTATATATGTGTTATGCTCCATTTTGGTTTCAAATATAGCACACAGTTTAGTCGTGAGTTTAGTAGTAAATTCTAATAGTCGTCAGTTTAATACTAGTTTATCATTGAAGGATTAAAGCACCTGACACTGGTAATGTGTCATAACTATCACATTGAATATTTTTTTTTTTCCCTTTCTTTTCTTCCTAAATCCGCTCTGAACAAGTGTTGACAAGTGTCAGTCAGAGAGCCACTATAATTAAATGAGCCAATGAATCTTTGACACATCACTGCAAATTAATTATTCAAGTTTCCCCGAATTTAAAAAAAAAATATTCATTGTAATCATAATATCACGTTACTATTATCACATGATATGATCAAGAGTAATGTTATATAGATTTAAAAAATAAACTTGATAATCACAATTATTGAATAGATAGTGAGTCCCTATAATTATCCATCTATGTACTACCTAGTGTTTTTCAATGTAAGTAATTACTCAAGTAAGGTTCAATTTATCTATTTAAAATTTTATTATTAATTAATAATATCATGTTAATTATCAATGTTAAAATAGTATTACAGTCGAGTTCTTTTCGTTTACGTTCTCCGTGTAATTTCAATATTCAATCGTCTAAACCATCCATACATGACATTAATTAGGTATAATTTGTAATAAGTTTTTTTTTTTTTGGTGCTATATCAAAATTATATTATAATTGAATCATATCAATATCAATTTCAAAATTGATTTGTTGTTATTTAATTTTTTTATAATTGATTTCATCTTAATCAATATCACGTAAATTTGTGTATAATCACGTTTAAACATTTCATTAGTTAAGCTCAATTATTATCTAAACCTGTTCAAGAGTCACATCCAAGAAATTGGTACGATTTCAAATCAAAATGACTGGTTATAGAAGATATTATCAACAACTATTAACAAAGAGAAAGTCTCATAAAAAATTATAATTTTTTAAAATTGAATGATCATCTCAACAAGAAAAAGCTTTCAAGTCGCTATAAAATTCAATGATCACTTATAATATAACTAAACCACGCTATTTTGTAATCGGAGCAAGAGACGAGAGTAAAACGAAGAATAATAATAGACAAATGAAAGACTTTCTGAAAATTCTTTTTTATCCACTTGTATTTTAAAATGGGTTGGTGGAACTTGAAAATTTACTCATGAACAAATAAACAGTTGAATTAGAGGGTACCAACGAAATCAAGTGTTAACTATCATTTCTTATTAAATTACCCAATTAACTTGCTATTGGACATTTATTTTAAAATTGATAATTTTGTAAAAAATTTTGACAAGAAATAATCCTACTACATCTGGTTCTAGGTTTTTCATGCTTGAAAAAAAAAAGTTGGGGCATATTTACCCAAATCATTGGTTCGATACTAAATGTAATTTTTACGTCGGACAAGATGTCTAATATTTATAACGGTTGGTAATTAAGGGTCGAGATACTATCAGTCAACCAATTAATATCACTTGTGATGTACAACAATTATTAGAAAACAATCGAGTTAGAGTTATAGCTATGAGTGCTACAAATGGTTTAACGGGAAGAATGAAAGCGATTGATACGAGAGCTCCACCAAGTGTTCTCTCGGATAAATTTTTAACGTGCCTAGAGAACTCATTGATAATTTAACGCGCCAACCTTAATATAATTAGATACAAAATTATTGATTTTTGAAATCGAAATTAAAGTAGTAGATTTTTTAGCCCCTTATCAACGTGGAGGAAAAATCGAACTATTCAGGGGAGCTGAAATGGGTAAAACAATACTCATTATAAAATTGATTAACAATATTGCCAAAATTCATTGAGGTGTATCCTTATTTGGCAGAGTAGGTGAACATTCTCGTGAAGGAAATGAAAGAATCTGGGGTGATTAATGAACAAAATATTGTTGAATTGAAAGTGGCTCTAATTTACGGTTAGATAAATGAATCTCTGGGAGCTTATATGAGAATTGGTTTGATTGCCTTAACTATGGCGCAATATTTCTGAAATGTTAATGAACAAATCATCGAGTTGGATATATCACTACGAAACTTATTGCTGGTTAGAGTAAGTGACGCATTTAAAACGGATCACTTCACTCGCTTACAATATGTTAACTTATTCTTAAATACAAATCTTGTTTTTTGCTTAACACATTATGTAGTTTTGTTTGACTTCCCATGCCTAACAGGTGGTGAATCAGAGGTAGGACGGCCCTCACTTAACTCTTATCATAAGGAGCTAAAGCGTCAGGAGAAGGAAGGGGGGATTTTTGCTCGTGCAAACAAATATTTTTCATCCAATATCCCAATTCTAAGAAAGAAAAAGAGTTGTTAAAGAAAAAGAGTTAGTAAAGTAACAACTATGTGCGTGCAGGATCTTGCACAATATAAAAAATGAGAATAGATCTCTCCCTAAATGAACTCAAGTGAATCAGTTGAGTGGTCAACCTCGCTGCTTGGGACAGCCTGTGAGGTCCGGTAGTAACCTGGAACGGCAACGGGAGACCCTAGTGGATTGAAGGAACGATCCAGTAAGGCTGTAGAAAGGTTCCTAGAACAAAGAAGAACAAATTAGAAGGGCGCCGGAGTGTTTTTTGACGTATCCTCTCCGACGATCAAGTCAGTCTTTGAGAGAGAGAGGAAGAAGAAAACACTGAGTGTGTATTGTAACAAAGGTTTTTTGTTGCCTCCCGTCTTGCCTTTTACGAGAAGTATTTATACCTCAAAAGCTCATGATTGCTGTCAGTGTTGTCAGTAGGTGATCATTAGGTACAAGCAGTGTGCGCACTGATTCTGATGAGGAATGTCTTCTCTTCTTTAACTGCTCGGAGTCCCGAGCAATCAATGCTGTGTCATCGGGCTGCCGACTGTCCAATGAGCTCCACTCAGGAAGGATGCAATAAATGCCCAGCCTTAGAGACATTTATTATCTTTCAATTCCGAGCCTTACCGCATTGAATTCGGTCTCATCAAGGGAATGGTGTAATTAAATGTTTGCTTTCTCAAGTCGCGTGTCAGCAAGAGCATGCAGTCTTTCTGTCTCTGATGTGACATAATTTGCCACGCGTCCATCCCTCATTGGTTGTGGATCCAGCCTTCCTGTGCCTTCTGACACCAATTGTGTAAGACGAGACCATGATAGCTAACCTAGACTAACCTAGACTAATGACATGTACATCAATAGTTTATACTGGAGCAGAGAAAAGGCATCCTGGACGGGGGTACATCTCGGTACCGAGGAGAGGTATATCTCGAGCCGAGGGGAGCTGTACATGGCGACCGAAATACCATATCAGACCGAGGGATACGTGTCGGTACGTAAAACGTACTTGACCATGTCAAGTACCTCGGGGGGCGAGAGAGTTGTAAGCCGATGGTACGTGATTTCAGTAACAGAATTTTTAGTGACGCCAAGGACACGTGTCTTCATCTTGGAGTATTTTAGAAAAGTCCCATCAAACTCAATCCCAAGAATGAGACAACACGAATACGATACAAAAATAGATAGATCAAATTGATATAACATATTTAATTAAATAAATTAAATTAAAATTAATTAATATTCAATATAAATAATACGAGATAAACGTATCAGACACAGAAAAAGACTCAACTTTCAATATAGTGTCAAATTTTCGTTTTTCCAACCCAATGAAAAACTTTCAATATAGGATTCACGGACAGTGTTGCTTTCATGTGGAAACTAGGCTGCTTTTTGCTGCAGAAACATGGGAGAACAAAATGATGTTCAAATCCAATGCATAGTCAGCTGGCATTCTCTTCTAAAACGTGTTGGATAAGACGGCGTTGATGTCCTTACTTACGCTTTCAATTCCAGCCGTCACAAGTCGCCACAGACATCCTCCGATTTTTATTATATAAAACTCTACCGTCCAAGTAGCCCATACCTGGGCCCGTAGGTGGTTAGGTAGATAGTTAGATGTGAATCAAAAAAAGCCATCCTATCGTCGCTTAGACTTTCTTTCTTTGGTTTTTTTTATTTTTTATTTTTTATTTTTCACGATGTATGGTTGTAATACCCTTTTTCAATCCATCGTATCACAGCCACTCAAGTCAATTTGAGATTTAAAGTGACAATATTAAATAGAGATTTTTTTATTTTTAATATTATTTTTTTAAAAAATTAATTTATTTTTATTTTTCTATATAAAAGGAAGACAAAAAAAAAAGATTTGTTAATATTGTCGAAAAAGAGATTTTAACTTTTATTTTTTTTCCATAAAGAGGAATAGAGTGTATAATTTTAACTTTTATTTTTATTTTTTATTTTTTTTACCTCAAAGAGAGAGAGAGAGAATAAATGAGTTAATTTTTGAGTTTTTTTTTAATTTTAAAGTTTTTAATGTTATAGATTAGATTATAGGCCTAAATTATTACAATAAAAATTTTGATTGGATTTAATTTTTTGGAACTTTTTGTAGAGTTTAAAATTTAATAGAATTAATTTTTTTTGTGGGCTAGTGATGTAACTAAAACAATGGGGCCTTCTAAAATTTGGGACATAAAACTCATATTTTTTTTTTCCCATATTGTTGGGCCGGCCCTACATGGAGTGACCTATCAAATGGTCCCGCTAAGCTAACCCATGGGCGACCCAAACATTTTGGATATAGATGACAATGAATGGGATAAAATGGGTATTCATTCAAATTTGTTTTATTTGGATAAGAGATGGAGGTGGGGATGAATTGAAATTTATCTCCACCCAGCCAAATTCATAATATATATATATATATATATATATATTTGTTATACATATTAAATAAAACACACATTTGTTATATATATTATTTTTGTGAGTTTTTATGTTTGATTTATTTGTTATATAATGAATTTTCATTTTTCTTATAAATTTATTTGTGAGTTTTTATGATTTTTTTCTTAAATTTATAAAAATTTATTATTATAGATGGAAATGGAAATTAAAATTTACCCGCGGTGCGGAGGTGAATCAGGAGTGGACGAATATTTTTGAAGCGAGTACGTGGTCCTCGCTCCCACCTTGATCCCCTGTCATCTCTAATTAAACAATAAATGAATTTTTTTTAATATTAATATTAATAATAAATTTATTTTTTATTTTTTAAAATATAAAAATATTAATTAAGTTTTTATATTTAAGTTTTTGTTATCATAGTTAAACTTGATGGTAAGAGAGAGAGAATAATTAAAAAATTATGATAATAAATTTAAATTTGTCCTTTTTGGGGGGTTAATAATTGATTTTTAGTAGTTTTAGTTTTAGTTTTATTATTAGCTTTTCGCTTTTTGTTTTCAAAAAATTAAAGGTTTTTTTTATTTTATTTCATGGACTGAATTAATTGATCAAACCCATTCAAGTTAAAATCTTTTGTTTGAATTTAAATCTAAGTTTTTTTGTGAGGGTATATTTCTTATGAATTTAAATTTTTTGTTTGGCTATTACTACACACTTCAACATTATGTAGGCCTTACTTAAAGTGGGCCTAAAGCCCAAGCTTTATTAGCCTAGTAATTACTTAGATCCCATGATATTTAAAAATATTACATATAGACCATTTAAAGTTTGTACTCACATCCATTAATATATCCATTAGTAAATTATATACTTAGATCCCCTAAAGTTTATAAGCATACAACACTTAGACCCTTAATATTTTAAATTTTACAACTAAAATTCATGTTTTATTATGTCATTAATTGAAATAAAATTAATATTTTAATTTTAATTTCTTTCCTAAAAAAAATCATAATTAATACTATTAATGTCAAAATTTGGACGATCTACACATAAGTTTATTGAGTTTCGATTACCTGAAAAAGAAGTCAGAGGCCAAAGGGAGCTCTAGAGGTCGATTCTTCGATGCCTAATTCAATAAGTGACTCAAATGTATGAACTGCGTATAGTAATCAGTATAAATATATCGAAGAACTCAATTCTACTACATACAATTATACTGTCTATTGGAATATAAAAAAAAAATAAAAAATCGAATAATGGGTCAAACTGTAATGAACACAATATCTTCTATCTTTAATTAGATTCTATAAGTTTCGTAACTAATAAGAAGTTTAAGTGTAAAATTTTAAACTCAAAGATCTAACTGTTACACGCCTATAAATTTCAGGGGATCTACGTATAATTTACTAACAGACAGTCTAAAGGACATTGACAGCAAAAGTTTGTGTGTAATATTTCAAATGTTAATGGGTTTAAGTGATTAAATAACAAATCTTAGGAAATCTGAATATAATTTTTCCTATATTATATATTATGTTGAGTTTTGCATAGTTAAATTTATATTGTTTTTAAATTAATTTGTAATTATAAATTTCTAAAGCTAAGATTCTCTCACCTCTTAATCAAATCCTCCGCATTTTAGTCTCATTAATACATAAAATATCTACCATGCTTCCCATATTAGCAAATACCAGATGAAAAACAATTTCATTATAAGATAACTCCTACTGCACCAGATTAAACTGGAAAATAAAATAAAAAAATAAAAAATTTTGTGCTAACATGTTGTTTAAAAATTCTTAGTATCATCCTAAGGTCCAGGTCGTGTTTCGGAACATGTAAAAAGTAGCACCCTTAAAAACGGGTTTGGACATTATGGATTCGGTTCCTTCCTTGTTCCGGCAATAACTTTCATTTGAGTCAGTACATTTTTTCTAAGTTATTATGGAAACAGCAAAAACAATTTGTGACGGCATTTGTTAATTTTCAGTAATTTTTCCAAGTTACTACTACTTGCTTTCACAAATGCAAAATCAGGAGAAAAATAAAAAGAAAAAACAAGGGAACACAGATGAAGGAGTGAATAACAAAAGGAGACTGATTCTCCACACTTACCATTACTAGGAACAAAAATTTCACATGCTGGATCCTTACATTCCCCACACATCAATAAACCCAAGCGAAAAATAACAGAAGGATGGGCAATAACCCAGTTACACACTAGCTCCATTTCAGAAAGCATCCAGCAGCCCCTCCACTCTTCCAGCATGATAAATCCATTGCCTCCAAACTGAACACTGGGTAAAGCAACATGGACCAGGTCTACAACTTCAATTAAGAAACCAACTTAGCTACCCCATAAATACAGGTCAACACAAAAACAAACCCGACACTCGATAAATGTATGCCCTATAAATGAAGCAGATGCTTCCAACGCTAGCCATGAATGTTAAAGTTGTGTAGTAATACTTCAGTCATGCTCTCTTTCTTTCCATATCCTTGAAAGACTATTTTCTTTGCTCATCCTGTTGTCGAAGTCCCACTTATGGTCTGTTTAGCAACATATACCTGCTTTGTTTTCGAAGGAGGAAAGCCTCTTTCGGAACCCAGAGACAGGTTCCTTCCATGAAACCCCATTCTGCGGTGGGACCATTCACCCCCTGAACTGTTCTTTTGAGATACCACACCTCCTCTCTGATGATTGTAGCCCGAGTGCCTATAATGCTGGGCAGACAAATTCTTCTGCTGGGAAGGACGAGTATTCGAAGCATTAGGGCCCTGGTCTTTACTGTTGTTGCCACTGCCATTCTGGCCAGCATCTGCAATACCACTTCCACAAGAGCTTTGATTGACGGCACTAATGGATGCCCCAGCATTAATGGAGCACGATGAATCTACTAACCCTAGTTCATCACGAAACTGGGTAACAGATGCATCTGTAGCCACAGGAAACCCCTGGTCCTTGTCAGATGGTGTTGAAGTTCGAGAATCCGAGAACCTATTAGTAGCTGATGAATGGTCAACAGGGTGTCCATGGCTGAATTGAGAAGGCAGTACAACATCTGTCGGTTCCTGCAATGGCAGTGAAAGAGGAACAGAGTGTAGAGGTGATCCAGGAACATGAGACCAGCGAGCTTGGGCTGAAATGTCAGAAGCAGACTGTGGTACAAGTTAAATTGAACTGTTAGTTATGCGATCTGCTAATCAAACACAAGCAATAAAAACCTCCTCCCCAAAAATTATATGCTCATAACTGAATTTAGAGTAGGGCATAATTTGTTTTGAACAAATCATTTTGGCAAAGGCGTTACAGTTTCCCATCTTTAGGTTGAAAATAAAGTCCCCCTCAAACAAAAATCTGAAAAATGTAAGACCCCCCCCCCCCCCCCCCCCCCCCCCACCCCCCCCCCCCCCCCCCCCCCCCCCCCCCCCCCCCCCCCCCCCCCCCCCCCCCCCCCCCCCCCCCCCCCCCCCCCCCCCCCCCCCCCCCCCCCCCCCCCCCCCCCCCCCCCCCCCCCCCCCCCCCCCCCCCCCCCCCCCCCCCCCCCCCCCCCCCCCCCCCCCCCCCCCCCCCCCCCCCCCCCCCCCCCCCCCCCCCCCCCCCCCCCCCCCCCCCCCCCCCCCCCCCCCCCCCCCCCCCCCCCCCCCCCCCCCCCCCCCCCCCCCCCCCCCCCCCCCCCCCCCCCCCCCCCCCCCCCCCCCCCCCCCCCCCCCCCCCCCCCCCCCCCCCCCCCCCCCCCCCCCCCCCCCCCCCCCCCCCCCCCCCCCCCCCCCCCCCCCCCCCCCCCCCCCCCCCCCCCCCCCCCCCCCCCCCCCCCCCCCCCCCCCCCCCCCCCCCCCCCCCCCCCCCCCCCCCCCCCCCCCCCCCCCCCCCCCCCCCCCCCCCCCCNCCCCCCCCCCCCCCCCATATACGAGTGTAGACTGTGAAGCTACATGGAAACCCCAAAAAAAAACCAAATCATTATCATCTTGCAGGTTAATCAACTCACAAAATACCTGGAATGGAGACATATCAAACATGGCCAAAGGGGCAGCCATGGGCAGGAGTGGTGATCCAGGGGTAAGATGCTGGACAGGAGCAGACATGTTTGGAGGATTGCGCTGTGGAGAAGCTGTATTCATATTATTCATGCTTCGCTCACCAATGCCTATAGCAGACGATGCAGGGTTGTGCTCCCAATCAGGTTGTTTTCCAGATGGGATATAAGTAGTACCCATGTAACTTAAACCAACCTGCCCAAACTGACCAACTGGTGCAAAATGATTATAGACCACCATGTGTGGGGGGCCTTGAATACCTCCTCCAGGCGGACTAATGAAGGGACCAGTGAATCCTGTGGTAGGACCATAAAATGAGTCCACAGTGGAATGGCATTGTTGCCATGTCCCAAGAGGCCCTGGACATGATGCATTACTCTTTTGGGACTGTAATTGGGTACCAGCAGATTCTTCATGTGGACCAAAAGCAAAGATAGGACCCCCCAACAAGTGATTCATCTCGTAGAAAGGAAAGTGGGAAGGTGGTCCTCCAGGGAAATGAGAAAGTATCTGGCTTGAAGAATTCTGCGGACTTGGTAAAGGTGGCCATAAGGACATTGGTGGAGTTTCAACAGAGAGATCAGCTGGAAGAGATACACTTAAAGATTCTCCATCCCTCAATTGATTTCCTAATTGCCGATCACTAGCCACACCTGCAAGTATTTAAAAAAGCGCTCAAACAGTTATACTATTGTTTTAACAACCAGAAGCAGTAACAGCAGGGTTCAATAATCATTGGTTACGAAGAAAATTTGCTACCTCCTGTAATTCCATCAATACCCGCACCACCAAAGCTTTTGGTATTCGAGACAGAAACAGAGCCCAACCCATTCCCCACTATCTCATCACTACTAATGGCGGCAACAGCCACAGCTGAAGCAGCTGCTTCAGCTTCAGCCTCATGATCTTCTAAATGGACACAAGATTCATTGGGGAGCTTATCTTTTTCAAAGAAAAGAGTACAGTCACTATCAGCCGTGGCAATATTGGGAGAGATTTGGATGTCAGACCGAGAAAAACCTGGAGATCCAATCCTATGTGTAACAGCACGGCTACTTGGAGGGAGAACTGTTGGGGATGTAACTGCACCTGAATGGGAAAACAAACAGTAAGAATTGTAACCTGGGGAAATACTTGAGCTTCATTGGATGTATATGCTTACCAAATTGAATTTTCTCCCCTGCAAGCAGAGAGTTGATTGGGCTTGCTGTGGAAGAAAATGATTTGTCTCTAATAGAGATGGATGATGGCGGCAAGATAGGCTCACTAACTGAGCTACTATGACCTCCCAGAGAGGCAACATTTGTATCAAATCGGGCAGGACTCATAGCCTCATCAAGTTGGGTCTGCGTTAAAGCCATAACCTACCAAATAGAAGTAATAGATTTCATTGCAACCACAAGGTTCCAACTCACTGCAACAGCAAACAGCCAAAAAAACTGCTCAAACAAACTAGGCCAATTAACTTTCAACTAGGTTCACCTTCTCTCTCCCACACCCACACCCACCGAGTCAAGTTACAAGTAATCTTCGAGTTAATACTTCAAGGAAGAAGGGAATGATTACTTGAAAATGTTGATGCCAGTTTTCTAAATTCTAGGATGTATTACCGCAAATTTTAACTTTTCCCTTCTGCTTTCATATCCAGAATCTCTGATATGAAAGCAGAAAGGATGAAGGGAGGATTGACCACCAATCATGCTCACATAATCTCATTAATCATGTTAACAAAATCTCATTGGTCTAGGGGGGTGAGGGTGGAAAGGGAGACAGTATGCTGCTAAATCAGTAAAATCAAGAACAGTCATGTTGCTAGGTTTTTCAAATGACATAATTCAGTGCAATTGCATTGAATCAGTAAAATCCAGAACAGTCATGTTGCTAGGTTTTTCAAATGACATAATTCAGTGCAATTGCATTGAAAGCCGCAGCGAAAATCCCCCAAATATATCACCTACAATCATAACAGCTCAGCCGAAAACAGTGATTGTTCCTCCCTATGTTAGGGACATGGGAAAAAAATGAGTCTATATAAAATCAAATTGACCCATCCCAGGTAAACGCAACACCTCAATCCTAGCCTTAAATATAGATGATTTAACCTACTGTAACGTAACATCAAATAACGCCAAACAAAGAATATAAAGCACTACACAAAATTCCCATAGTGCAAGCAATTATTCCACTTTTTTTTTGAGAAAAAATTCATAATAATCATTTTTTAACTTTGAGTGTCCTTTTTTGTTGTTTTGTTTTGGGTTGGGGGATTCTAACAGCAAAAAGAAATCGGTCCCCACAATTAAGAAACTGTGCATGAATGAAAAGTCATTGGCAAAAATAAAATCACTCGAACTTAGACCATGAACGCTAACACTGTAGATGTGTGTGATCATCCACAGAAATTCGTGTCTGCTAGCACAGAACTGTTCATAACTATTCTTAAAATATAGTAACAGCAGTTTTGCATACCTGTTGATTACTCCGTTCATTACCCCAGGAACCCAAAGTTGCCTGAAAAGTATCCATAACTTTGTCCTTGGTGTCAAATAATTGGCCTTGCCCATGGTCATTTCCACTGCTAGATGCAACAGAAGCAGAGCATGTTTGGAGGGACCTGCTAAAAAGAAAAAATGAGGATCAAAACCATCCTGATGCAAACCTTTCTGGCAACATTCAGCATATATCGAAGAGTATATACTTTCCGGTACAGGATCCTGTATCAGCCTGAGTATCCATATTTACAGCAGGAGCATCAATTGGAGCCAATGGCTGAGACACCACAATAGTAAACCCTGTGGATATCTCCTTGTCTGCTAAACCTCGTCTCGCAGAGACAACAAAATCAGAGCGGGTGTTTATTAATGCTTCTCCACCAAATGATGTAGAAATTTTATTTGATCTTGATGATGGCACTGTACTTTGGGTAGCACGAGGTTTTCGTGGAGGCTGAAACTTAACAAAAAATATAATGTAATTAAGAAAAACATGAATTTCTATGCAAAAACACAAAATTTAAAAAAAAAACCCATTAGAAAAAAGTCGAAATGAGATGATTAAAACCTTTGTGACCACAGACTTTGCCTTGATTTCTTTCTCTCTCTGTTCACGCCGATCAATCAGCATTTGCCTTTTTGACCTCACCTCAATGAAGTCATCCTCATCACTGGGAGCTTCTATGCCAGATTGTTTGAAAACACGCACAATCCCACTTTGCAAGGGAGCATCAACATCCTCATCAGAAACATTCCTCTTCAGGTTTCCCTCCCCAGAGTGCAAGATATTCTTACTGTTGGTTAAGGCTTCTTTTCCATTTCCCTTCCCAGCTCTGCTTTCAGAATCAATCTCCTGAGAACTAACAGGACCTGAGAAAGAACTTTCTGATTCACCTATTAGCTTCAATGATTTGCTGGGCATGATACTTCTCTTAGAGCCACTTCTTGTAGAAGTTCCCATTCCCCTTCCATTGACATTTGACTTTTCATCTGACACCAAATTGTTAGAAGAATTCAAGCCTGATGATTGCCTCCTGTCAACATTTTCCCGAATTTGGAACTCCTTCCGTTGGATAATACGTTGAGATCTCCGCTGAAATCTGTCAGAATCAGAACGACAAGCCTCCGAAGTTGGAAAAGATGATCTCAAGCTAGAATTTCTAAGAGAATGGACAAATCTTCTTCCCTTGCTACCAGATAATAGGCCTTGAACCATTGACACACTAGAATCCCTTTCACGGGGTAAGGACACAGATGATGCTGATGCACTTTGCAATTGGCTTTCAGGCCCTCCCTCCTTGGATGATGGCATGTAAATCTTCACAGCCGCATCATGGTGCTGTTTATCTTCAGCTTGGGAACCTCTTCCTAGCATGACCTTGATATCACCAGCAATGGAAATTTCAGTTTGACTCTTAGGAATCAGAGCATTGCATTCTGCATTTTCTCTTGCTGACAGTGAATTCAACCCCCTCGACACATTCTCATGTGACAGATCCTGCGACTTTGAAACGACAACAGGCTGGTTATTCATTGGAAGAGATTGCACATCATTTTTCATCACACTCAGAGCAGTAGTGCCTTGACTGGGTCTTATAGGCAGAGTTCCAGAATTTTGATGCAGATTATAATGCCCCTGCACATTCGACTGAAAAAACGACATTGATTGAGGAGCCATAGGCAGTAGTCCTTGGGAGATAGGAGATGAATATCTGAGCTGACCAAACTGGAAGAGAGGAGGCTGTGATGTGTGTATACGGGTAAGGGATGGACCAACCGGGGGATGCAAGTGGAGAGGCATCTGTATAGATCCAATTTGTATGGCAGGAACAGGAGAAGGTATCAGAGAAGGACCAGAAAACAGGCCAAACTGAAGCTTAGGTAAATCAGCTTGACTAGGAACAGAAGATATGGTAGACATGAAAGACTGAGTAATCGTAGATGGGACAGCTTGCTGAGAAGATAGACCAGAAGTACTTGAAGCATCAACACCATCTAAAAGATCTGATGCAATTGGGGTGTGAGGAGCACTAATAGGCTGAAGAATTGACTCTTGCATTGCCTCTTCAATTTCCAGGATCCTCCTAGAAGAATCATCATCACCCACACGACTAGATCCATCCACAGGCTGAAGGTTCTGTTCATCACCATGCAACCCGTCAACAGATCCATGTTTTTCTCCAAGCGTACCAGAAACTTCAGGCGTCCCAAATGTACTTTCTTCATTCCTTGGATTTCTTTCAGTATCATCACCTGGTATTCCAACTTCAACACCCTCATCGAAACCCAAGACCAAGTTGTCCAGCATGTGGGATGAGTCTTTTTCCCGAAGTAGATTCATATTTTCAAATTCCTGGGTCAGGTTAATATCACCATCATCTTCTTCTCGAACCACTTCTTCCTGATAACCATCATCGTCCTCGACGTATTCTTGCTCCTGCAACTCTTCATTATTCTCAAGACGCCATTCTTCGTCCTCACCAGCAAAGATGGAACTTGATGTTATCATTGCAGAATGTTTCGCAGATTCAGATTTGTTATTCAAAACATCATTTACGTTCCCAGACAAAGGAGGAAAATTTTTCCCTTCTTCCGTAGCAGATGCCACTGGAGAATCATCAGACTCATCCAACTCATCGTGAGATAGATGAGGTGGAGAGTTAGGGGGGCTTGAAACAGATAGTGAAGACTGTGAGTCACACCTTGGTGTGGTATCCTTGTCTTGTTTCTGCTCTTCAAGCCCAACATTATGTTGTTGGACATCAAAAAAGGTAGACGGTTCAGGTTTTTCCTGATGACCACCATAATACCCTGTCTCCAGAGTAGATTCACTTCTTCCTGTATGATTGTAATGAAAGTCATTATCTATGAAAGTTGAGGGACCTGGTCGTTCATTCTCACCTCTGAAGGAACTTTTGTGCATAGGAGCTAGTGATGGAGGGGGGAGGACACGAGGCTGTCTCATGGAATATCGTGACCTCGCATAGAGATATATCTCATCTCCCTCACTATTTGGATAGACCAGTTCTGGGTAAGGAGATTGGGGATAGCTACGAGAACGGCCCTGCCCCCATCCAACATTCCCATATTTTTCAGCAAGATTCTCATAAAATTCTGAGTCACCTTCCCTGGTTTTGCTGAAAGAATCTCCATCTCCAGGAGGATTCCACCTTTGTTCTTTTAGATGAGCAAATTCATCCATGTGAGGTTCCCGTATCCCTCCTCTGAAATAAGTTCTGGAAGGCATGTATCCAGGTCCTCCATAGAACTCTTTCCTAGAGAATGCTCTTCCGCCAGATTCTCTCCCACAAACAGATGCATCTTGCCTGGGACTATAGTGACCATTATCCTGGTCTTGTACAAGGATGGATGAGCTGTTTCCATTCTCAAACACATCCCTTTTCCACGAATGAACAGGTTTTCCTCCGTCCAGAAAGCTAGAAGAACCTTCTCTAGAAGGGTGGGGCTTGGGACCAGTCTCAAAGGTTCTATTTGGAATGGATGAACCTGAAGATGCTGAAGTTGTCATCCTCTCCACCATCATATCGCTATTTTCCCAGTTATCCAGACTAACCCCCTTTGAGACATCTTTTTCCTTGAGCACTCCTGAAACTTTCTCGTCTGCAACAGCAGCAACCAAACCATCACACTTTGCTGCTTCAGCTTGCCTCTTCGCAATCCTAGCCTCCAATTCTAAAAGCTTTTGATTAGCAGCCTGTTTCCTCCTCTCTTCCTCCATAAGAGTCCTCCTCCTCTCCTCTTCTCTAGCTATCTTCTGCTCTTCAGCCCTTCGAATGGATTCCAGCTGCTCTTGTTCTGCCCTCCATGCAGCTTCTCGGGCTTCCTCTTCCAGCATTCTCCTTTGTTCTTCCTCTTCCCTAATAAGTCGCCGTCTCTCCTCTTCTTCTCTCCTGGCTTGCTCCAAAGCTCTTTCTTGTTCTTCAATGATGCGCTGCCGCTCCAGCTCTTGAAGCTTTTGAACTCTTTCAAGTTCAGCCTCAAAGGATTCCCTAATAGGGTCATGGAAATCCGCCTGTTTAACCACGTCTTTTTTCCTCTTAATTACTCCAACAAGTCCCCCAGAAAAGGGGTCCTTTTCTCCAAAATCAGTAGACCCAAAGTCTTTCACGAAAGGGTCCTCTACATAAGGTCTTTCACTCTTTGAAAAGGAAGCTTTCTCCCGATCAAAATTCAACTTAAGATCATTCATAAGATACCCTTTACCATTTGAAGAGAATGAGGATTTAGCCACTGCTCTACTGTGGTAAGCATCAATACTGGAATTACTAGACTGTATGGTACCATATTGGTCTCTTGTATTCTGCACAGACCCTCGGTTGCCAAATGATTCCGTTGTGTTATTCAATCGATGTCTCGCTTCCGTTACATGCCCAATATCCCTCCTTCCAAATGCCAAGTCCCGGTTTCCTGTGGAAACACCATTCCGAGTGCTATCTCCAAAATATGGTGGGATGTGCTTATTCTCCTTCCTTGTATCGCTGTTAGCCATCGGCTTATCCCCAAAACCATTTCTTCCATTTACATCTCCTTGTGCATTAAATCCATCTTTTGGAAGAGGGGAAGTCTGCCACCTGTTACCTTCACTGCCCTCCCTATTAGGTGTTCTTCCATCTCTACGGTAAGGGTCCACTACAAGGACTTCACTGGAGAAACCCTTTCCAGTATCATTGTCACGTTGGCCCCACCTATCCGATTGATTATGAACCGGTTTGTGTGGTAAAACACTGGTCCTGGACATGCTAAAATCTCTATCCCAGTAAGCTTCACTTTTTGGGAACCCATGATCTCTACACCGGTCTGCAAATCCATGACTTGTATCACGCTCATCATCAGCCCAATCAGATCTTGGATTCAACCGAACCAAGGGCAATGGAATCGGGAAGAACTCCTCCTGCTTCCGCATTTGATCTGGCATGCGTGAACTGCCCTGTTCATAACCTTCACCACCATTCTTGTTCGACACATTAACAACAGTATGATGGGAAGACTGCCTCTGCGGATGCATGTTAAGCAGCAAACTATGCAAACTGTCCCTCTGCTCAATCAATAAATCCTGACCTGCTATCGGCTTCTGTTTCTGATGCAAAATATCTTTCTGTTTCTGAGCAGGCCCGGATGTGGTAGGCAAGGCAGCTCTCAAAGAAGGAAAATCCTCACCTCTCAAAACCATGGATTNGAGGAGCAGGAATGTTTGGAGGATTGTGCTGTGGAGAAGCTAAATTCATATTATTCATGCTTCGCTCACCAATGCTCATGGCAGAAGATGTGGGGTTGTGCTCCCAATCAGGTTGCTTTCCAGATGGGATATAAGTGGTACCCATGTAACTCAAACCAACCTGCCCAAACTGACCAACTGGTGCAAAATGATTATAGACCACCATGCGTGGGGGGCCTTGAACCCCTTGAATACCTCCAGGCGGACTAATGAAAGGACCAGTGAATCCTGTAGTAGGACCATAAAATGAATCCACTGTGGAATGGCATTGTTGCCACATCCCAAGAGGCCCTGGACCCAATGCATTACTCTTTTGGGACTGTGATTGGGTACCAGCAGATTCTTCATGTGGACCAAAAGTAAAGATTGGACCCCCCAACACGTGATTCATCTCATAGAAGGGAAAGTGCGAAGGTGGTCCTCCAGGGAAATGAGAAAGTATATGGCTCGGAGAATTCTGTGGACTTGGCAAAGGCGGCCATAAGGAGATTGGTGGAGTTTCAACAGAGAGATCTGCTGGAAGAGATACACTTAGAGACTCCTCATCCCTCAATTGACTTCCTAATTGCTGATCACTAGCCACACCTGCAAGTGTTTAAAAAAGCACTCAAATACATCACAAATAATATTCTTTTACCATCCAGAAGAATCAACAGCTCAGTAATTAAATTTGCAAAGAAAATTTGCTACCTCCTGCTATTCCATCTGCAACCCCAAAGCTCTTGGTATTTGAGACAGAAACAGAGCCCAGCCCATTACCCACTACATCATCACTACTGATGGCAGCAACAGCCACAGCTGAAGCAGCTGCTTCAGCTTCATGATCTTCTAAATGAACACAAGATTCATTGGGGTGCTTATCTATTTCAAAGAAAAGAGTACAGTCACTCTCAGCCGAAGAAAGATTGTGAGAGATTTGGATGTCAGACCGAGAGTAACCTGGAGCTCTAATGCCATGTGTAACAGCACGGTTACTAGGAGGGAGAACTGTTGGGGAGGTAACTGCACCTGAACGGGAAAGTGAAGGGTAAAACAATTGCAACTTGGGAAAATACTTGAGCTCCTTTGGATGTATATGCTTACCAAATTGGATTTTTTCCCCTGCAAGCAGAGAGTTGATTGGGCTTGCTGTGGAAGAAAATGATTTGTTCCTTGTCGAGATGGATGATGGTGGCAAGATGGGCTCACTAACTGAGCTACTATGACCTCCAACAGAAGTAACATTTGTATCAAATCGGGTAGGATTCATGGCCTCATCAAGTTGGGTCTGCGTTAAAGCCATAACCTACAACATAAGAGTAATACATTTCATTGCAACCACAAGATTACAATTCACTGCAACAGGAAACAGCAAAAAAAAAAAATTTCAAACAAATTCAGCCAATTAACATTTAACTAGGATACCAAAGACAAACCAGCCCAAGCTATAAGAAATCTTGCCATTGTACTTCAAGAAAGAATGAAATAAGTATTTGAAAATTTTGCTGCCAGTTATCGTCTCTAAACTCTAGCATGTATTATTGAAAATTTAATCTTTTTTTTTTGGGTTGGGGTGGGACTGGGCTAAGTAAGAGCTTCACAGAGGGAAGGAAAAAAAAAAAAAAAGAGGATCCAGTGAACTTGTCTATATCTGATATGAAAGCAGAAAGGACAAAGGGAAGATTGACCACCAATATTGTCTGCATAAGCTCATTGGTACAGGGGAACGTAGAGCTGATATGTGATAAAAAAATAATACTGAAGCTGCTGTTGGTGGGCGTGGAAGGGGAAACATAGTATACTGCTAAACCAGTAAACTATACTCAATCTGTAAAAACCAGAACAGCCATGTTTGACTTGCAAAGCAGTATAATATCCATAATCAACACCAAAAAAAGTCGCAGACTAGTAAAGAATCGTATTGAAAGGTTTTTCAAATGCCGCAATGCAGTTGCATTGAACGATGCAATGAAAATCCCCCAAATAGATCATCTACAATCATAGCAGCTCAGTGGAAAACAGTGATTGTTCCTCCATACATTAGGGATAGGGGAAAAATGAGTCTCCATATAAAGTCAAATTGACCCATCCCAGATAGACCCATACACCATGATCCTAGCCTGAAATATCGATAATTGACCTACTGAAACATAACATCAAATAATGCCAACAAAAAAAGGTGTATACCAATACACAGGATTCCTACAGTGCATTGCCTTCATGAGAAAGATTTTACCTTTTTCTGTTTCCATAAGTGCTCTTTTTGTTTTTTCAGTTGTGTTGGGGGGCACTTAACAGCAAAAAGAAATCGAGCACCACAGATAAGAAATTGCACAAATGAAAAGTAATTGACAATTGGAGATTAGACCATGAAGGCCAATAAATTAGACATATGAGACCACCCAGGGAAATCCCTGAGTGCTAGCACTGAATTATTCGTAACCATTCTAAAACTATGACAACAGCAGTTTTGCATACCTGTTGACTAATCCGTTCATTACCCCAGGAACCCAAAGTTGCCTGAACATTCTCTATAACCTTGTTCTTGGTCTCAAATATTAGGCCTGTCCCAAGGTCATTTCCACCACTAGATACAACAGAAACAGGGGATGTTTGAAGGGACCTGTCAAAAAAAATTGTGAGTATCAAAACAATCCAGAAGCAAACCTTGCAAGATTCGGCTTTTATTGAAGAGTATATACTTTATGGGACGGGATCTTGTATCAGCCTGAGCATCCGTACTCACAGCAGGAGTGTCAATTGGAGCCAATGGTTGAGACATCACAGTTGTAAATCCTGTAGATACTTCCTTGTCAGCTAAACCTCGCTTCTCAGAGACAACAAAATCAGAGCAAGTGTTAATGAATGCTTCTCCACCCAATGATGCAGAAATTCTATTTGATCTTGACGACGCCACTGCCCTTTGTGCAGAAGAATGTTTCCGTGGCGGCTGGAATTTAAGAAAAAAGAAAAATGCGATTAAAAAAAGCAGGAAATCCATTGCAAAAAAAATCATAGAGGTTGAAACTAAATGTTTATTGAAACCTTTGTAACCTGAGACTTTGCCTTGATTTCTTTTTCTCTCTGTTCGCGCCGATCATTCAGCATTTGCCTCTTCGACCTCACCTCAATGAAGTCATCCTCATCACTGGGAGCCTCTATGCCCGGTTGTTTAAAAACAAGCACAATCCCACTTTGCAAGGGAGCATCATCATCCACATCAGAAACGTTCCTATTCAGGTTTCCCTCCCCAGAGTGCAAGATATTCTTACTCTTGGTTAAAGCTTCTTTTCCACTTCCCTTCCCAGTACGGCTTTCAGAGTCAATCTCCTGAGAACTAACAGGACCTGAGTAAGAACTTTCCGATTTACCTATTACCTTCAATGATTTGCTGGACATGGTACTTCTCTTAGACCCACTTCTTGCAGAAGTTTCCATCCCCCTTACGTTAACATTTGACCCCAAATTGTTAGACGAAACCAAGCCTGATGATTGCCTCCTGTCAACATTTTCCCGAATTTGGAACTCCTTTCGTTGAATAATATGTCGAGGTCTCCTCTGAAATCCACCAGAATCAGAGGGAGGAACCTGAGAAGCTGGAAAAGTTGATCTCAACCCAGGTTTTCTAAGAGAATAGGCAAATCTTCTTCCCTTGCTACCAGATAATAGACCTTGAACCATTGACCCACTGGAATCCTTTTCACTGGATAATAACACAGATAAAGCTGATGCATTTTGCAATTGGCTTTCAGGCCCCGTCTCCTTGGATGATGGTGGGTAAATCTTTACAGCTGCATTATGGTGCCGTTTATCTTCAGCTTGGGAACCTGATCCTAACATGACCTTGCCATCATCAGTAACAGAAGTCTCAGTTTGACTCTTAAGAATCAGAACACTGCATTCTGCATTTTCTATTGCTGAAAGTGGATTCAACCCTCTTGACATGTTCTCATTAGATTGGCCCTGTAACCTCGAAACGACAACAGGCTGGTTATTGACTGAAAGAGATGGTACATCATGTTTCATCACATTCTGAGCAGAAGTACCTTGACTAGGTCCTACAGGCAGAGAACCTCCTGAATTTTGATGCGGATTATAATGCCCTCGCATGTTTGGCTGAAAAAAGGACATTGACTGAGGAGCCATAGGCAGCAGTCCCTGGGAGATAGGAGATGTATATCTGAGCTGACCGAACTGGAAGGGAGGAGGCTGTGATGCGTGTATGTGGGTGAGGGATGGACCAACCGGGGGATGCAAGTGGAGAGGCATCTGTATGGAACCAATCTGTATGGAGGGAACGGGAGATGGTATCAGAGAAGGACCAGAAAACAACCCAAACTGAAGCTTAGGTAAATCAGCTTGACTAGGAACAGAAGATATGGCAGACATGGAAGTCTCATTAATGTTAGGTAGGACAGTTTGCTGAGCATATATACCAGAAGTACTAGAAACATCAACACCATCTAAAAGATCAGATGCAATTGAGGTGTGAGGAGCACTTGCTGGCTGAATAATTGACTCTTGCACTGCCTTTTCAATTTCCAGGATCCTCCTAGAAGAATCATCATCACCCACACGAGGAGATCCACCCACAATCTGAAGGCTCAGTTCATCACCATGCACCCCCTCAATAGATCCAAGTTCTTCTCCAATCCCATCAGAAACTTCAGGTATCCCAAATGCGCTTTCTTCATTCCTTGGGTTTCTTTCAATATCATCACCTGGTATTCCAACTTCAACAACCTCGTCGAAGCCTAAGACCAAGTTGTCTAGCATATGGGATGAGTCTTTCTCTTGTAGATGCATATTATCAAACTCCTGGGTCCGGTTGATATTACCATCATTTTCTTCATGAACTGCTTCTTCTTCCTGATAACCATTGTCATCTTCAATGTATTCTTCTTGCTCCTGCAACTCTTCATTATTCTCAAGAAGACATTCTTCATACTCACCAGCAAAAATAGGATTTGATGCTATCATCATAGAATCTTTCGCAGATTTGTCATTCAAGACATTATTCTCATTCCCATATAGAGGAAACTTTTTCCTTTCTTTTATAGCAGATACTACTGGAGAATCCCCAGATTCATCCAACTCATCATGAGATAGATGAGGTGGAGAGTTAGGAGGGCTTGAAACAGATAGTGAAGACTGTGAGTCACACCTTGGTGTGCTATCCTTGTCCTGTTTCTGCTCTTCACTTGCAACATTTTGTTGTTGGACATCAAAAAGGGTAGATGATTCAAGCTTTTCTGGATGACTGCCGTAATACCCTGTCTGCAGAGTAAATTCACTTCTTGCTGTATGATTGTAATGCAAGTCATTATCTAGGACAGTTGAGGAACCTGGTCGTTCATTTTCACATCTGAAGGAAGTTTTGTGCACGGAAACTAGTGATGGTGGGGGGAGGACCCGAGGCTGTCTCATGGAATATCGTGACCTCCCATAGGGATAAATGTCATCTCCGTCAGTATTCGAATAGACCTGTTCTGGGTAAGGAGACCGAGGGTAACCACGGGAACCGCCCTGCCCCCATCCAACATTTCCAAATCTTTCAGCAAGATTCTCATGAAATTCTGAGTCAATCTCCCTGGTTTTGGCGTAAGGGTCTCCATCTCCAGGAGGATTCCACCTTTGTTGTTTTAGATAAGCAAATTCCACCTTTTGAGGTTCCTGTATCTCTCCTCTGAAATAAGTCCTCGAAGGCATGTATCCAGGACCTCCATAGAACTCTTCCCTAGAGGATGCTCTTCCACCGGATTCCCCCCCACCAACAGATGCGTCTTGCCTGGGACTGTATTGACCATTGTCCTGGTCTTGTACGAGGATGGATGAGCTGTTCCCATTCTCAAACACATCCCTTCTCCATGAATTAACAGGTTTTACTCTGTCCAGAAAGCTAGAAGAACCTTCTCTAGAAGAGTGAGCCTTGGAACCCATCTCCAAGGTTCTATTTGGAATGGATAAACCAGAAGATGCTGAAGTTGTCATCCTGTCCACCAATGTCTCACTACTTTCCCAGTTATCCAGATCCACCCCCTTGGAGATATCTTTTTCCTTGAGCACAGCTGAAACTTTCTCGTCTGCAACAGCAGCAACCAAACTATCACCCTTTGATGCTTCAGCCTGCCTCTTGGCAATCCTAGCCTCCAATTCTAAAAGCTTTTGATTAGCAGCTTGTTTCCTCCTCTCTTCCTCCATAAGAATTCTCCTCCTCTCCTCTTCTTTAGCTGTCTTCTGCTCTTCAGCTCTTCGAATAGACTCCAGTCGCTCTTGTTCTGCCCTCCATGCAGCTTCTCGGGCTTCCTCTTCCAGCATTCTCCGCTTTTCTTCCTCGTCCCTAATCAGTCGCAGTCTATCCTCTTCATCTCTCCTGGCTTGCTCCAAAGCTCTTTCTTCATCTTCAATAATGCGCTGCCGCTCCAGCTCTTGCAGCTTTTGAACTCTTTCAAGTTCAGCCTCAAAAGATTCCCTAATAGGGTCATGGAAATCTGCCTGTCTAACCACATCTTTTTTCCTCTTAATTACTCCAACAAGATCCCCAGAAAAGGGATCCCTTTCTCCAAAATCAGTAGAGCCAAAGTCTTTCGCAAAAGGGTCCACTACATTAGGTCTTTCACTCTGTGAAAATGAACGCTTCTCCCAGCCAACATTCAATTTAGGAACATTGACAGGAAACTCTTTACCATTTGAAGGGAATGATGATTTGGACACTGCTCTACTCTGGTAAGCATCAATACTAGATCTACTAGACTGTTCAGAGCCGTATTGGTCTCTTGTATTCAGCACAGACCCTCGGTTGCCAAATGATTCCACAGTGTGATTCAATTGATGTCGCCCTTCTGTAACATGCCCCATATACCTCCTTCCAAATGCCAAGTCCCGGTTTACTGTTGCAACACCATTCCAAGTATTATCTCCAAAATAAGGTGGTAGGTGCTTATCCTCCATCCTTGGATCCTTGTTAGCAATCAGCCTTTCACCAACACCATTTCTTTCATTTACACCTTGTGCATTAAATCCATCTTTTGGAAGAGGGGAAGTTTGCCACCTGTTACTTTCACTGCCTTCCCGTTTAGGTGTTCTTACATCTCTACGATAAGGGTCCACTTCAGGGACTTCGGCGGAAGAACCCTTGCCAGTATCATTGTCGCGTTGACCCCACCTTTGAAATTGAACCGGTTTGTGCAGTAAAACACTGGTCTTGGGCATATCAAAATCTCTATCCCAATAAGCTTTACTTTTTGGAAACCCGTGATCTCCACCACGGTCTGCAAATCCATGACCTGTATCACGCTCATCATCAGCCCACTCAGATCTTGGATTCAACTGAACCAAGGGCAATGGAATGGAAAAGAACTCTTCTTGCTTCCGCATTTGATCTGGCATGCGTGAACTGCCCTGTTCATAATCTTCACCACCATTCTCATTTGACCCATTAACAACAGTATGATTGGAAGACTGCCTCAGTGGATGCATGTGAACCAGCAAACTATGAAAACTGTCCTTCTGCTCAGTCAATAAATCCTCACCCGCTAACTGCTTCTGTTTCGGATTCAAAGTATCTTTCTGTTTCTGAGCAGGCCCAGACGTGGTGGGCAAGGCAGCTCGCAAAGAAGGAAAATCCTCTCCCCTCAATACCGTGGGTTTCTCTGGTGGATAAGCTCGAGCTGAAGCAGGAACTGCAAGTCCAACCCCACCTGATCGAGCAGAAGGTGGCAAATAAGAACTACTCCCCCTAGTCACACCATCAATATCTCTCACACGCTGGTCCATACCATCAACTGCCGGAGTCTCACTCCCATCTTGCAATCCAACAGCCGCCGGCCTTGACCAACTCAACCCAGAAGAACTGGATCTCGACCCACTTCCCGAACCTGTCGCACCGGCCGGACCACCACCACCGGAACCCGAAAGATCAAATCTCTCATGTTCTTTCCTCATGGAAGGCAAGTTCAAGGGGGGTGGAACAGATAATTTCGGAACAGCCTTCTGTGAACTCCGAGTCCGCGACAGAACAACCATTCCCCCACCACCACTACTGGATCGGGATCGGCTCGCTGCAGCTTGCCCATAATAGCCACTATAAGGTGGATGAGTATGATGAGAAGATTGTCCATAAGACTTATTCAGATTCACAGACACAAACTTAGTGCCGATCCCACTGGGATTTGCCATCGACACAGAGCCCGGCCCGCAAACCTTATTGGTCTGGTGGATTCAAAACCACAGCAAAGCATCAAATTCACAACCCTTGTTTTCTCTCTCCTCCACAAAATGATCTGTAAGGACAATTCTTCACAGATCTTACAGTAGATAATCAAAAATCAAAAGCCTAAAAACTCCTCCAAACCTAATCACCAAAAATAATAAAAACACTAAAATACAAAAATCGATCACAAATACTGATTAATACAGCCACTAACGTAACAGGAGTAGAGATATAACAGTGTTACTGGCCTGATCAGGGCTTCGACGAGCTATTTATTGAGTTCGAGATAGAGATACCAATAGGGGATCAAGTGGAAATGGAAGGAGAGTGTAAGATAAGGAGCTTACCTCCGATAGCGTAAGATATAGAACGGCGGTGCACACTTGCGCCGAGTAGAGAGAGAAATAGAGAGTGATGAATGAGAAGACGTCGTAGAAGCCCTACACTGGTCTATGTCGGAGGAGAGAGAGAGAGCGAGAGGGGGGGGGGGGGGGGGGG